ACTATTTATCACGCGTTGCGTCTTGCGCACGTCGGTTCAACTGCTGTCATAGCGTTCTCTTCTGACTAAATTGCCTTGTTGCTCCATGATTTCTCCACATATCTTTGTGAAAGGCAGATTTGATCCTTTGTTTGCAAATAGTGAAAGTAATTTTCTTCACTAACATGAGATGCCAGTGTGTGCTGGCTGTCATCCAAAACAAAGTCACACGAATGATTATGGGCAGTCCCAAATGTCCTGCGCTATGCACATTAGTTATATGCACAAGTGTAAGCACTTTCAACACTCAAGAAGGTGAGGCTCACGCTTTCTAACGCTACAAATGTATAAATATGCGTGTGTGTGCCAGGTGAGAGCTCTGAGCTGTTCCGCTGGCCTTTTCTCGGGCATGACGATACCTCGCTATGTTCCCCTGGACATCTTCAAGTTGGCAGTGTAGCATGTATCTTCGGACTTATTGTCCTATTTATTGTAGCTTGCAACCGCTGAAAAATGTAATTATGCCTGAATTCTGCCATTCACGTTTTGTTGGGTAGTGTACGCTTAAGTTCAGCGGAAAAAAATCGTTGGCGAGAGGTGCCTTGTCGCATCAGTAGCAGTTTCATTCGTATCAAGGCCAAGAATGTTGCCGTTGAATAAGAGTTGGAAAGCTGCGGCCTACAGCACTCTAGAGGCTATGCTGTCTGAATACATCCTCCATACTCTAAGTTCTCAATAAGGAAAGTTACACTTTGCAAAATGGTAATGGCCGTGAAGCGAGTACGTGGCATCAAATGCACTAAACTATACATCAAACATCTCGCGTGCACGCTGGCAACGCATTTCCGCTTTAACAGCTCCTGCTTCCAGATCAGCATGTAAAGATGTAAAAGCACTTGCTATTAAGCAGGTAGATGCGGACCAGCTTTTTGCGGGAAAGTCATTGCAAGACAATTCTTAAAAGGATCTGAAAACTGAAGTCTTAAATGCCTTCTGGTATTGTAGCTCGCGCTGAAGCCGCATGTCTATCGTCGGTTGCTCGCTTCTGAGTGGCATAGACGAATATCCACAGCTTTTGTCTTAGACAGGCAGCTCATTCACGCCATGATCACAAAGGGCAGCATTGCGCTTGGCGACAAGACAAAAGCTGTGGATATTCTTCCATGCCACTCAGAAGCGAGCAACCGACTGGAGGCATGCGGCTTCAGCGCGAGCTACAATACCAGAAGGCATCTAAGACTTTAGTTTTCAGATCCTTTCAAGAATTGTCTTACACTGACTTTTCACTGGTCGCCCGCGTCCGTGAGCTGACTTTTCTCAAAAGTAACCTCAATTTAGCTACAGAAAGCTTGTGTAAAGGGAGTGGCTTTGTCACTATAGCTTGTAAGTGGGATGAAGCACTTCCGACGGTCACAGCGTAGTAGCTCTTAGTCCTGACGAGATACCATGACCCAGGCCGATCTCGCAATAGCGCAGAGGCTTGCTGCCTGGCGTGTATCTGCAGTATGGAATACTTCAGAAAGTAGCGCTGGTGTGTTCGGCTGCGTTGGCGACACCTTTTCCTTTCTGATGCGCATTATACAGCAGACGGCTTCCCTAGGTCTCAGTATTCATCATCGTGCAAGGCGCATGCCGTGCATTGACAAATGGCTCGTGCCATACTTGTACTGACCCTATTTCCCCAACCCTGAACACTCAGTTACAATCCTGTCTTGCTGATCTTTTCGTGATAGAGAGTAGAGCATTGGTGAGAGAACGCACAGAATGTTTATTTTGCGAGTTTTGAGTTGAAATGCCTACCGAGCATTGGAACGTATGCTTGGAGTCTACGCGTCTGTCGTCGTTAAATTTTGTAGACCAGAGAAATCTTGGTCCAACATATGCTTGCCTTTTGGCATTAAGAGACCCGCTTTTTCAGCTACACATCGAACTGAGCGTGGTCCTCCTATGGTTGATCCATTAAGACACTTTCTCTTGATGCTACAGAAATTGCTTGTGACACACCACCCCTGCTGCTGGACAGATGTGCACTGAAAACTGTAAAGAGTGAATTTCTAATTAGTAGTCACTCTGGTAAGCATTGTGTTGAAACCCACTTGCGAGTTTTATGCTGGAAGCCTGCGACTCAAAACGGAAACCCCATGCGCCCCTGTTACCAGTTGAAGGATGTACGTTGCATCGTTTAATATTGTGGCTGCTCCCAACAGTGGAAAATTTTGCCGTCCCCACCAAAGTGACAAAATATATGTCTTTGCTTTGTCTGTTAGATCATATCATGGTATCGGAGCGGCAGTCGCACGCCTTGCATCACCAAATTTGCGTCCGTAAGCAAGGCGATACAAGCAATGGGGCTACATTGAATATTTGATAAGGAGGGCTGTCAAGTTTGCAGCATAGTGACTAGGTGGCCACAGGGAGCGCTTGAAAGCAGGCATTCACGGTAAGATATGAGCTTGCCTTTGCCCCGTTCGTTAATGTCATCTACCGTGACTTGTTGCTTTTCTGCGATAACCAGAGAACGGAGCATCAAAGATAAGAGCAAAGGAAAGCACAATGCAGCTGAAGCAGAAAGTTTAGGCGTAACGAACATGCTTCGGCCTGTGGTTTGTGCGAGCGAACAGAGTTTTGCTCTTCTAGTCATTTATATGAGAAAAATTGGTGATGGTAGCGGGCAGGTTTGCAGGCGTGTAAATTTGTCACTCGCTATTTGAATACGAGGGCCGGGCACGGCTTGAGGGATTTTGCGCAGCCATGGCTACGAGCTGTCCAAGAAATTCCATGTGCAGCTTTTCACTGCCCTAATACGCGTGCTTCAATGCAATCTTCTGCGTTATGTTGTGACAATGTGGGAAGCGAACGCGGAAAGGTGTAATCGTCGCGCTGGTGTGTTCTTGTACACTTGATCGGGTGTTCAAAAGAACTAGTCTTCATATGAATATTGGTATCATATTTCGCATATCACGGACAACCCAGTGAGTGCGCTGGATCCAATGGATTCATTTGTGAGCAATACGCTCAGTGTCTATGCTGGTAGCTCTGTTGGTGCTCCCAGGGGGAACAGGAAAGTTAAGGAGCACCAGGATAAGGCAACTCGTACCTACGTTACCACGGCGCCAAGGGCTCTGTACGTTTATCAATCACAAGTGCTACAAATTATGATTTCAGTCCATTAACTTGACAGAAAGGCGCCTTTTGCGGGTTCCAATTTGTTTCAGGTGGGCGAGATGCACACCGTTTTGTCGCTACAAGTATTAAGCGACCTGCATTTTCCTTGTATGCGCAGCGAAAGCCGCACAGGTCATTAGAAGACGGCTCAAAATATAAAGCAACCGGCGTTTTTTTCTTCAGAGTGCCAAGGGAAAAGCTTGTGCTTCAATGTGATTTACCGGTCTTTATACAATATGACGCCTTCAGGGGCTGCAAGCACTTCAGGTGCTCCAGATACTTTGGCAACAACTGCTGGAAAAGCTAAGTATTCTGGTCCATTCTCTTTCTGGAACTGAGAAATATTGTCCGCCTAGATGCGTGAAATGTTCAAAAAAAGGGTTTAGCCACAGGCTTAGGGCGCTATTCAGTGAGCATACTTTTTGCATAATGAGCATCACCGTAGAGCTGAGGGCACTTAATTAGCATTGGCTGCGAACCAAAGCCTATTTTGCGTTCTCATAGTGCTACATTACGCTTGAAAATATCTGTGTCCGGGGTTGGCTGACCCCGATGGATACGGAAAGAGGCTAAGGGCGGCTCACTGCGGCAAGGGCAGCCCGGCCATTTTCCCCCGCCAAAAGATAGAGAAGCAGAGGTGGTTACGATAAGAGGACTAAGGGCCAAGCAGCAATGGCTACGAGGAGACGACGAAGGGATAATTAGTTAGCATTTCGTGGCTCTTCATCCGTACCTAAAACCCCGGCACACGCAGCCTCACCAGTCTACGCAGGAGAGAATTACTAGCATTCGCAGCTTCCGATGATCTGCGCTTCACTTGATTGGCTGTAATGTATAGTATGGGCAGTTTAGGTAGGTCCTCAACGTCAATTCCATGTTAATCTTGACGTCCAACGCCGACGCCGCTGGTGAGTTCAGTAAATGATCAGACACCAGAGCATTCTTGGATCCGCCGCTTCTGTTCCGTTTTTAATCACAAAAATTCTGCTGAGCCTATGAATACTTTTACAACTTCATCGCAGGGCGGCAGAGAAGCCGGACCCGTCGGCTGCAGCCCCTCCGACTTGCTAGGGCCCTGGCACTTTGACCTCCGTGTTTAGTTCATCTAATCGAAACAACTATCCACCCTGACTTTTTGCCCATGACCACTCTCGTATCTGTTTTAATTTCAAATCTTGCAGGCCAGGGGCACACGTTTTTCAGTCTTCGGATTCAATGATCCATCAACGGCCACTGACCACACCACCCCCCTTCCCTCTTGGCTGCCACGTGAGGCAATCGCGATTTCCAATATGGTCAGTGCAGCAACAGCAGCGAAAAGGTGACTCCAATTTTTGTGGTGGGGTGAACTAGTGAGAAATACAATGGCCAGTAACTGATGAAATTCGGAGCACTGTGTCCCTCCCTGCAGGCGATAGGACAATTCTTCTAGGTGTTGGTAAGCTCTTGCTTCGTGCTATATACGGTCTTATTTGCCAGGCCCACTCTCAGAGTATTCATTGTTACACTTTCGCCAGAACACGCGAAGAAGTAACAAGCTGCTGCGTTGGCGGCGGAGTGCTGCTTATGCATTCACAGCAGGTTTCAGCTTGCTGCAACAGCGGGTAACATTGGAACGTCACGCGTGATTTCCGCTAAATTTGTAAGGACTGTGGTCGCAGTTTGAGCGAAGAACAAGTATTCTTTAGGAGACAGCCCTGGTGCTTCGCACCTGTAAAACCCAATTGCCAGCAGCAGCAAAAGCAAGAGCACGCATAATACGGAAGGGGCATGCGGATAAAAAGGAGTAACCCGCTTTTGAATGCGCATCTTTGCCGCTTTCTGAGCGGCAAAGGAGGCAACAGCTTCGGCTGAAAATGAGTTACCGTGGCCAGTCGGTATACGTCCTTCCTGCAGTTGCAGCCTCAGTAGCCCAGGACCACGGCATCAGCAGCAGCAAGGGCAGGAACAGGGAAGCCCCAAATTTGTACATTCGTCGCACGGCATTCTATGGCGAGAGCGGTGGCAAAGACAATACAACAGCGCAGACAGCGCGGCGTGTAGAGGCGCGCAACGACTTTGCACAACGACACCGCAGGTATGCTTCGAGGCAGCGGGACAGCAAGCAGCGAAACCCATTACGGCAAAGCGGAGACACAGCCAGTGCAGGCTTGTCGCTAGTAATAGAAGGCAGACGGGCGGTACCTTCGCGTGGAGTGGTGACTCCAGCGGGGCATGTTGCAGTGCTGGAGGCAACGAGCACAACTCAAGCTTCTACGACAGAAGCAAGAGCACTCCCTTCAGCAAAAGAAATTGAATGCATTCAAACTGCGCAATTTTCCCGCGTGATCACCTGCTCTAGACGTGAGGGCCGAAGTGGGGGAGTCACAGCAGCAGCGGAGAGAATGGCATCAGTACGTGAGGTCCTGCGATCAGCAACAACACCTGTAACAGAAGCCGTTGCCGCAGAAACAGGGAGGAAAGCAACGCAACAGCGGAAAACGGACAGCAGCGACAGCAGTGAAAGCAGAGAAAGGCGTCAAAGCATACTTGGCGGTGACACTCCGCAGCGTATAATCAGTAGAGTCCTCTCTCGTGTACGGAGGCATGTCGCAGCTCGATTTAGCAGCATTGAAAGTAGCAGCAGCAACGATGAAGCCAGCAACGGCAGCGACTCGAGAGAATGGCAGAGTATCTGCAGAACATTGCGGAACAGCAGTGTCAGCCGGACGCAGGGAATAAAGGGCAAAACCAGAGCGAGCAACTCCAGACAGAGGACCAGCAAGGCGCACTCAAGGAGGCGCAGTACTGCCACGAAAGTACTTCACTACAGCAGCAGCAATAGCAGCATCAGAGGCAGGAGCAGCGGCAGCATCGGCGGAGAATATAATCATAGGCATTTCGCTGATGCGACTGCCTTGGGTGATGAGGGCAAGCGGATAGGACGCAGCAGGAAACTTAACCGCGGCGCGATAAAGATAAGAGATCGCAGCAGCAGCAGCAATCACAGCAGCAGCAACACCAGCAGTAACTGCGGACAGGTGAGAAGGAAAAAGGAGTCGGCAGCCCTTCGTAACAGTCTAATCGAGCCCAAGTCACTCCTGCCGAATCCGGCTCATAAGGTAAAACCAACAATAAGTCTCTTTCCTCTTTCTGCTGCAGCAGCAGAACCCCGATAAGCAGTAGGTAGAACCAACAATGCGTCTTGTTCCTGTTTTTCAGCTGCTACCGCAGCAGGAAAAATCGGGAAAAGGCAGGAGGACAGGGTAGGTTTAATGTAGACATTACTACGCTTTTGCGTTTTGCCACTTTACAGACACTGTTGCCTGCAAATCAACAGCTTTTCGACGACCAGCTGCTGCAAACTACTCCCAGCGAAAATTGTAGTAGCATGGGAGACTCGCTGATTAGCCAGTGGCTAAACTATTCTTCAGCGGTAATTGACGAACGGAACCACAGCAACTTCGTTTCGTTACTGTAGTCTAATTCTGAAGGTTCAGACACATTTACCGTCCTGCTGCCCCTGCGCTTATGCGCCTTTTGAATTGTTACTGCATCGGCGCTGCTGTATTTTTTGCTGCGCTGATGCCTCCGCAGCTTATCGTTGAGGATGAGTCTTCTGACCTGGCCGATCTTCCCCAACACTTGTGTGTTTCCGCGTGCACTCCTTTCCAGACACCTGCCTTCAATATCAGACCAAGATCAAGACCAGCAGAGGCAACAGGAAAAAAACGTTGGGCGCAAATTGTCCACGAGCCTGTTGCCGTCAATCCGGAAGATAAAGAGTTTATTTTGCGCTCGAAGCCTGAGGAGGTCATAGCCCGCATCAAACAGCGTTTAGGATTTCTCAGCAGCAGCGGCAGCAGCAGGTGCCACTATTGCTGCAGTACGCGTCTTTCTTCGTATGGTTGGCGAAGAGCAGCTTCAGGGCCTTGTAGCGGAGCTCCTTTTTCATGGGACTCAGGTCGACCACTATGCTGCTCACAGGAACAGGAGGAGGCCACGCAGTCGTGCTCTGCTGCAGAGGAAGAGGACACCAGCGGGCAACAGCAGCAGCAGCAGCGGGAACAGCAGCAGCGAGAGGAAGACCAGGAGAAACTTAGTTTAGGGTTAATGACATCTTTTCCAGGCCGCCAGTGGCTCCCAAGTCTTACCGTCAGCGCCCTTGAGCATTCTGGCGTAGGCGCCGTCCACGAGAACGAACCACTTCAGCGGCAGCAACAGCAGCAACAGCAGCAGCTGGCGGAGAAACGATTGAAACGTACTCTGCACATTTCCAAAAAGCAGGTGGCAGCTTGGAAAGCTGCAAGCCAATCCCCACTTCCTAAACTTGATGCCAGTTGGGCTGCTGCTGATTCAAGAGTGGCAGCCGCAGAAACAGCAGATGCTGCAGCACAAGGGAAAACACTTCCCCTTAGTGACAGCCTTCTCTTCCGCCTATCACCTGACTCATCTTGCTGCCCAGTCTCTTCTTCGGAATTCACGGTCGATGCTTCGCCTAATCGGCAGCAACTGCAGCAACAGCAGCTACGACAGCAGCTGCAGCAGGTATGCCCAGAATATAGCAGCGAAGATGAAGGTACGTGCAGTCGAGCGTCGCCAGAATACGTGCAGCAGCATCAAGAGCAGCAGAAGCCGCAACAACCCCCAGACCACTCCAGTTACGCAAAGCAACTGCGACGCTGTCCGCAGCAGGAAGGATCTCCACACCAGCAGCAGCAACAGCAGCACAACAAAGGCAGGGCGGCGTCGCCGTATCTCAAGTCGATGCGCCAGCGAATTCAGGGAATTGAGGGAGCACCCGCAGCAGCGCAGCAGCAAATGCATGACACGCAGAGAAATGATCCGCTGAAAGAGATGCAGCAACAGCAGCTGGCGTGGATGACACCAGAAGGACCCCTTGGAAGTCCAAAGGAAGCAACAACTGCAGCGACTGGCTCTCAAGAGCCGCTGCAGCATCTTCAGCAGCAGATGGGTGATAGTGCCACTGAGAATCGGACACTGGAAGGTGCAGAGCAGAAAAACGCACAAGGACGCATTGAGCAGCAGCAACCGCAGCAGCACCGGGACCAGCAGCGGCAGCCGTCATCCAGATTAGCTAGTCCGCTAGAACAAGGAGGTACTGACACTGTAGAAGCATATCCAGCAGCAGCAACAATGTTAGAAGAAGCTGCAACGGGACATGTAGCCGCAGCAGAAACAAACGCAGCAGCAAAGAGGCAATCAACAATGAGCGCGATGTCAGAAGCTGCTGCTGGAGCAACAGCCTCAGCAAAATTACCTAACGACCCATCTGTTTGTGAGTCGGGTTTAGAAGCAAGTGCCGAAGCAGCTAAATGTGCAGCAGCAGAAGCTGCCACAAATGACGCAAGCGTTAAAGGTGATGCAGCGATTGCTAATGGCTCCGTGGCTTCCATTGCTGTAAGGCGGCCGACTGTGTTGGAATCGATGGACTTGGGAGAAGCGCGAGCCAGTTGTGCTGTTGCTGTTACTGCAAGTGCCAATGGGGCAACAAGCCCTTCCACCGCTGCGGCTGATTCGCATACTGCAGTGCCTACTTCTGTTACGGCAATCCTTGCTACTGTGCCTACTGAGAGTGCTGCTCCCTCTGAAACAGTAACTGTTCCGACGCTTGCAGTACCTTCTTGCGCTGCAGGAGGTAATTCTGCTGCTGCGGCACGAGCTGTACCTGGTGCTGAGGCATCAGCTGCAGTAAGGCAGCCGGCTGTGCTGGAAAGGATGGACTCAGGAACGGCGCAAACCAGTTGTGCTGCCACAATCACTGCATCTGCAACCACGGCAGTATATCCTCGCAGCGCATCGGCTGATACTCATACTACGGTGCCTACTGTCACGGCACTGTGTGCTGCCCCGCCTACTGAGGGTGGTGCTTCATCTAGAAGTGCAGCTGTACCTACGCTTGCATTACCTCCGTGCGCTGCAGGAGGTGCTTCTGCTGCTGCGGCACCAGCCCAAGCTACTTTGGAAGACGCTCCTGGTGCCACAGATGCTGCCACTCGTGCCGCTATGGCTTGTTCCTCTGTAGACGAGCCCTCTGGTGATCAACTTGCTTTCGGTCCTACTGCGGTGGTAGCGGTTTCATTGAATTCAGCACCAACGGGATCTACTAACTGTGAAAAGTCGCCCCCGCTGCGTTCGTGCACACAAAACTGCACGCAGCAGCCCCGTGCAACCAGCAGCAGCCGCAGCACAAACTGCAAGAACTGTTGCCTACAGACTCCTTGCGGCGCCTCTACCTTTGCCGTTGCAGCGCCAGTGACGTGTGTAGGCTGCCTGCAACAGCAGCTGCTACTGCAGCATCATCAGGTGCAGCAGCACCACAGGTATTCGCAAGCCCAACCCACTGTGTACCAACAGACACCGGAGCAGCGTGCAGAGCAAATGCAGCCGGATCAGTGCAGGCAGCTTCTAGACCTGTCTGCTGGCATTTCTGTTCACCCAGGAGCAACAGCAGCAGGAGAAGCAGGTCAACAGTCAAGTCATTCTCAGGCACAACACCGCCAGGAGGCTTTAGGTCGCGAACTGCTGCAAATACTCACGGCAGCAATCCAGTCTTCTGCTCGAAGCCGTCGCCACGGGCAAGAGGCACAGAAGAGCCACCAAGGCAGCCGCGCCAGCCAGGGTAGCAAAAACAGGAGAACGAGCCGCAACACGGGACAACAGCGCGCAAGGCAGAAGGCGGACGTTCACATAGACCAGCAAAATGCGGAGCATAGGAAGGAGAGGAAGAAAGACCAAAAGCGTAGAGGAAGAAAGTGGGCCGGTCACGGCAAGCGCAGCAGCAGCAGCAGCAGCAGCTCTTGCTGCTCCAAGGAACATAGAGTCCTTCGTGTTGCAGAACATCAGGAAAGCAGGATGCCCTCGGCAACCCGGGACACGACGGAATGCGTCGGTACCAACAGACAGGAGCGGAGTCAGAATCGGTCTGCTTCACCAGTGTCCGCTGCACCTGTCGCAGCTACTGCTACATCTGCTCCCACTCCTGTTCCCCGAAGTGAGCCAGCAGAGAGGATGCGGTTAAACTGCTGCAGGCAGCAGCGAAAGGCATCAGTGCTGACGAGTTGTGAAGCGGAAGAGCAACTCGAAAGGGGCATAAGGCTGCAACAACGATGCCGCTTACTGCGCTTGCTGCAGCAGCAACTGGAGCTGCAGTGAGTACAACTATACGTTTGTGGACTCAGAAGCCACCAATACCTTACAACACTCCTGAAGTACCAACATTTCGAGTCCGGAGGTCGTTACGTAAAAGGTCATTCACAAGGTCTTCTCAAGGAAATAAAACAGTGGCGTAGGACTTTTTGCTCGCCTCGCTCAAGGCGGGTGTCCTGACGACGCAACTGCATTTTTTCGTCCTCCTGTAAGCTGCTTTAGACGGCTTTCCGAATGGAGAACACTGGTATTAATGATAGCTACCCAAGCGCAGTTATTACAGAATGTGCAGCGTGCGTAGTCGGCCGCATATCTATGAATACATCAATACTTGTCATCCTTGTGACCTCCCTAAAGTAACTACGTGGCAGGAGTGTATTATGTTAAACTTGTGTATGCTCTAGATAGGCTGCCGCTATAATAATGCACAGCGCCCGTCGTATCCATGTTGAAGCCGGCATGTTGCCTGCCCTGTGAAAGACCTAGCGATGAGACTATTTTCGCACAATACTCCTACAAATATCCTTCACGCTAATCTTCAGGCAGCATTCTTGCGCAAAAAGCGACTGCGGCTGCAGCTGAACCCTCTGTTCCGCATTTATTTTATGTCCCTCCCCTCTGGTGGTGCAAAAAGGAAACGAGGCGAATATACGAGGCACAAAGTACAGTGGGCCTTCTCCACTGAAAGCACCCACATACAAACACACGCAGACCCGAATGCACTAGCACGCCCACCTTACTGCAGTCTCCAAACGCCGTCCACCGCCGATGCGTGTTGAACGCTCGCATCAACACACATGTTCTACTTCACAAAACACCAGATATAAAGCGGTTCTTGTGTGATTCGCTCGAGGTCCGCTGGCCGTCTGGTGGGCCCTGCAGAAGGTTTGTAGCGCCACCCAGCTGCTGCTGCAGTGACCAAAGTTCATCGTATCTGCGTCTGTTGAATTCAGCCCGTCTCTGAGAGAAAGAGGGTCGGGTGGGCGGCCCCAACTGCAACAGTGTAAGGTTTTCAGGCTTATTGAGACCTCCGGAGCAAAATTGATTGCGGGGTCCTCGTCTACAAAAATTTGCCTTTCTGTACGCCAGAGAAAGCAGCATGGGGCTTGAGCGTGACCCGCCTACCGCAGTGTGAGGACTGCGGCGGTCCTATCAGATACAACAAAAGGCCACATGGCCGACAATCACGTGCAATAATATGTCAGTGCGCGGGTACTGTCTTCTGATCTTCGCCGTCTGTAGTTACCCTCCAACCGCCCTTAGCCGCTGCTGCTGCTGCTTCCAGCTCCGCCCATCGCTGGGCCCTTTCTTCTTCCTGTTCTTTTCGGCTGCACCGAAGCAACAAGGGCAGCAGCAGTTTACAGAGAATAATGGCGGGCACTCTGCCTTAACTATAGGCATGTGCCAGGATTCCTGCGCATCTACGGCTTCAATGCAGCGGGATATAATTGCTGCACAGCACTTGAACGTAAACTCATTCACCGTGTAAAAGTTATCTTTAGCGTGAGGAAGTATCACTAGGAATCTGCTCACCGCTTCTCCTCAGCCACAAATCTGTTGGAGCACTCATCAAAGAGAGCCGTATCAGCCTGGGCCAGAAGTTTAGAAACATTGTACGTCAGAGTGTGCACTGTCACACTCCAATGCTGCTGTGAGCTCCGAAACAAAGCTCCTATTATTATTGGAAAAAGCTCCTGCAGCAAGAGCAGCAGTAGAAGCAATGGCAACTGTCAACATGCAGATACGATTGACGGTATGAAGAAATGCCAGTCTCAGTTCGGCCTCCCAGCTAAATCCTTTGCCTTCCTTCTTTCTGCGGCTGTGTTCTGCAGCATAACGGCTGCAGCAGCGAGCAGCTGCCGGGACAGATTTTCAATGGACTTCTCTAACTGTTGATCTTTTTGCAATGCAATCTGTTGCTAGCCTACGACAGTTCTGCACATTTCTGCTTCCTGCAGTTCTCCCTGTGCATCAACCTTCATCTATCTAAAGAGAATTTTCAACCCCAAACGAACTTCTTTAAACGTACCGGCCTATTCAGGTTTATCAGTCGGACGATTTTTTCATTATTCCACAGAAACAAGACACGCTCAGCGACCAAAAAGTTAGGCGATTGAATGCACTCCGCCAAGCGAGTAAAGAGAGGCAGCATTACTTCCTGGAACTCAGGCAGCTGAGTCTCCTGTAAAACCTGCAGCATGCAGCAGCAGCAGGACTCATGCATTGTGTAGAGAAACTACGCTCGCAGTCCTGACGCACGGTCAGACAGCTACACCAGCACAAGCACACGACCTCAGATATCCCCGGCATTTGCATATCCAAGACAAAGACACCACACCCCAGACAAGTTAAAAAGCTGCGACATCTCTACTACGCATCCAGCAGTCACCAAGTATACGCAAACCAAGCGTTCTAAGCAAAGGCATAGGCTCGACGAGGCGGCCTAAAGATCTGAGAGCTTGTGTTCGTGTATACTGCAAATGATGCACGAGCTCCTCAACTAACCCACTGCTCACGTGCTCTAGTTCGTTGAGAAACAGCACAACTTTTGGAGCGTTGCACGCCGGCCAGAAACGGACCATCCCTAATATAATTGGCACCGCCACACGGCTCTCCTTTGCAACATACCTAAAAGGCAAACTCAGGGAAACACAGAATGGAAAGCGGAAAGTGGCGAGGAAAAGCGTCTCCACTGTATATATATCAAAATGCAAGCAAATACAAAGCAGAAAAGAGGCAGACAGGAGAGACGGGGACGAAGAAGCGGCAAAGGCAGGCATCCCATTGTTCCCCCTGTTATGCCTCGATGCAGCTGATGTAAGCACAGAGAAAACAACGCAGGGTAACGATGGAGGATGAAACAGACAGAGACGAGAGAACAGGTAACGTCAAGCTCTCAAGGGGAAAGAGCCGACACACCACGGTTTCAGGCAGAAAGTAACCATGGAGACACAAAAAAAAGACAGACAAGAAATCACGTGGAAACACGGGCCGAAACTTACAAAAGTAGAAGCATACGCCACTAAAGCAGGACAAAAGTCTACAGAAAACTGCCATTCAAAACTAGAATCAATTATTCTGATTCCCCAAGTCCGCAGTTCAGTCTCGCATGCAGTACAACAACAGTGCACGCGTCCACATCGCAGTTCATAATGGTATGTATCGGCCTAAACATACTGCTCCATGCAATAAGTGAGCTGTTTGTGGAAAGCCCCGAGAGACCTCGCCTTGTGAAGCGGCAGCAGTACGCGTTCGAGAAAGAGCTTGTGCTCAGCCTTGAGGGGAACTGCAAATCCATTTATGACGCTGAAAGAAACAACGTAAGGAAGGTTTGGAGATAAAGTACACATCAACAAGTACATGCCGCTTGTATGAAAGGTGGTACCAGAGGGTCGGTGTACTGAGCAACGGAGCTAGGTGCGCCGTACACAGAGGAGCATTCCCTGCCCCGAACACGCACACGCACACTGTCTTCGTAGGCACTTAATAAAAATCCATATTTGCAAACCAAGCAAAATCCAATACGTGTCCATGTCCGTGTATCTATACCTAGCAAGCGGCTTTTTACATGAGTATTTGCGCAGCTAAACAACCAAGCACACATAGTCCGCACACCATTGCCGATCTAAGCTGCACGCTCGTGCATTAAAACAGAAGGTGCGTTGGGACTGAGGAACGCAAAATGATGCACTTGTGCACAGAAGCAGACCCATAAAACTACGAAACCAGGACCAGGGGAGAGGGAAGTGCTCCCAAGGGGAAGGAAGTGAATAAATGCACGGCACAATTATGGGTAGTTTCAACAGCCACAAAAGGTACCTGCCAAGAATTTCAAGGAGCTCTGAAATGCCATTGGGAGACTCTTGCTCATTCACAAAGCGGTGGAAAACCTGCTGGATGCTCTTGCGCACGAAAAACCTGCAAACAGGCAAGTGTGACGCACAACAAAAAGCGGAGATGAGAAAAAATACACGCCAAAAAATCCGCTGGGCAGTGCAAACGGCAGCGAGAAACACGGAAAACAAAAACATCTACAACAGAGAACAACGCACAGAAAGCGACACATAAAAAGACGAAAAGAGACTCCTCAAAAGATCTAAAGTGCGCCTTCAGTGTTGGTCTCCCTGCCTTGCCAGGGATCGAAAAGAAAGGCAAAATGAGCAAAAACAATCAGACCGAAAAAGCACACTGACAAAAATTCAGCAAGGGCAACGCTCATCGCTTTGTTCTTCAACCAGTGCATAGGTCACAAAAACGCCATACAAATCAAAATGTGAAAATTATTGAAAATCGAGCTAAATAAATATGCGGCTGAGTGAATGCACACATGCGTGTATACATGCATAATAGAACCGGGTGCGAAGGCCCCCTGAGCTAAAGACGAAGCATACCTTAAGGCCATTATCTTGCCGTATATTCTGTGAAGGATTGTTTTTAAATAGTCCCTCTCACGAGGATCTTCTGAGCTGAAAAGCTCTAGAAACTTAAAAGAAATAAAAACGCAAGCAACAAAAGAATGGCATGCAAGGAAGACCTACGCAGCCAGATGCGAAAAAAAAGCAGCTGCCTTGACTAGTCGATTCAATTGTGCACTTGTTTAACCATTCATATATCAACTGGTCTGATAAAACCTCTGAACTACGTGGGAAGTACCTTGAGGACAAACTGATGGTCTATAAACTTTTTCGCGAGTTTGGCGCTGACGTCGTTTGAAACGATAAATCTAAGGAAGAATTCATAAACAATCTGGATGTGCGGCCAAGAGCTGTCGAGCTGCGGCTCGTCCTCTTCAGCTTCCAATAGCGCAGCCCCTCTGTGCTGTGATGGCGGCAAAGGCCTAAATATATTCGCGGAAACCATGTCCATCACGTCCTGCAGCACCTGCTCTGAGAAGCAGTGACGAGTGCTATTCACGTACCTGTGACACACGAGAACAGGCACCAATGCATGCATATCAGCTGCAAGCAAAAGAAAGCCTTTGAGCACGAGTATGCGTCCCCACAATACAACAGAAAGCGGCTGGCTCCCAGTGTACACCCAGTAAGACCAAAGACAGATAATGACGAAGCCATGGTCCCAGCAGCCACAAACCGAAAAACGCCGCAAAAAAAGTTTACACCTCAGGTGCATTCGCGCTTTGGACAATATTCTGCAAGAAAACAACTGCAGCAAGGGGGAACACAGGGTCGCTGCTGACTCGACTATCTCCACGAGGGCCTGCTTCTTCAAGTCTTTATCTCTCGCGAAATCCGGCGATTCAAAATCGTAAACGATGCAGCATGCCTGTAGTCGTAGTACATGCCTCAACGCCTTGACATTCCCTCCCAGGGAACGCGGCACGCACTTTAAGGGGCATGCACATTTCAATCCAGGCATGCGTAAGGCGCCCCTAAGTGTCTACGGGGACAAAGAGCTGACTGAGAAAGAACAAGGGGACGAAGAGAGACAGCAGGGAACGGGATCCATCAGAAAACGTACTGCAAGCTTCTTCCGAAACAGCTCCGGCCTCTCGGCTACCGGGGCCTCCATAAGAGGCAGCAAGTCAGAGGGAAATGGACAGGGAGCACGCGCCTGAGGCGGCCTGCCTAACAGCAACGCTCTGACGCTGTTGTTGCTAGCGTCTGCGCCGTCACTGCGCAGGCAGCACGCAAGCAAAAATAAGCTGTGCACAAGCAAAACACGGCGATACTGTAGTGAAAATAGGAATATATATATGTATACGGATAGATGCACGGGGGCGACAGAGGCAGAAAAACAAAACAAAGACACGCCGAAAAAATAGATTCGGAAAAGGGCAGGAATGATGGAGGGGAGACGCGGCAAGAGAAAAAAGCACAAAGTCTTTGGCATACAGACGCACTATATCGTGCAAAAAAGCATTCATGCGTTGCAAGCAAGGATGTCATGCGAAGGCCACAGAGGCTTTCATAAACAGCACGTCACAAAGTGGTAGGACAAATAAAAGCATGCACACCGAGAAATGTCTACTTCTTGGTTTTTGAGACTGTCTGCCTGTAAGAAATGATCTCGCGTGCCATTCCTTCCAGTGGAGCTAAAGACGGCAGGAGGACAATCGCCCTTGCCTGCTGCGCCTACACCTGACGCTGCAGCTGCTGCTGTGAGTGATGTGGAGTCCTGTTGCTGTGTGGTCTCCGGGTTCTGCTGTTGTTGCTGCGGCTGATGTTTCTCTGACTGTTGTGAGCCGCTGCGAGAGAAACTGTCCCTCGACGAGATGCGCCGTCGCATTGACTGAAAGAGTCTGAAACGTCCACAGGAACAAATTCAATGGTAACCATTAAAAGTTTGAGACGTAAGGTGCAGAAAGCAAGGGAGCCTCGGTCTGCAAGTAATGCAGTCGCAGCAGAAGCAAGATGCATTAACACACAAGCAGCTACACGTTGATAGGTAAAAAAGGCACGCACAGAAACGCCACGCACAAATACCAACAGAAGCCAAAGGAACACAGAAAACAATAGATGGACAGAGAAGTAGCGCCGCAAAAACGAAAGCTAGAACAGAACAAAGGCAGCAACTCAACGGTACAACAAACGGGAAAGGCCCAGAATATTCGATGATGGAGCAGACAGAAATAACGTGTTTCGAACAACGTAGGCAGGCAGTCGAAATATTTTAAAATTACTAGAAAAGCCTACTTCATCTTCAACATGCGCAGACAGGTTGAAACCCGAGGCGTAGGCAAATGACGAGCAGCGCCCAAACTGGCTGCAGTTGGCTCAAGGTCCCGCATACATGCGCAGCAGCAGCAGCGATGGGGAAGTTACTTTTCGCCCATTAATTATCCTTTCTGCAGGATTGACAACCAAATAACAAATTGGAGTTCTCGACAATATGTAAAACGTACAAGCTGCCTGTATTCAGTACTCAACCAGCCACTGAACGGTGTTCCTTCAGAATTTAGTCTGTACACGAAAAACCAAATTACACTATTTTGCTTTTCGGCTATCCCGTTGTCTTCGTTATAGTAGCTTAGCTTGTGGGGCTCAAGAACTCAGTCACAAAAAGTGGTACACTCGAACAGGCCATAAGCGCGCTTGTCCCATTCTACAAGATAAAAAGAGCAGGTGCTGTACTAGTCTCACCTCGGGTCTCACGCTCGAGGCGCCGAACACAGACAAAGATTGCAGCTGCTGCCCCCAATGATGCGGCTTTTGTTGTTTCCGCTACTGCTAGTCCTTCTGCTATGCTGCTGCTTCGTTGCTTTTGCCGCTACTACGAAGGTTGCCGTTGAGGCTGTTGCTGCTGTTGATGATGCAACAACTGCTTTCAGTCGAGCTACTGTTCGCACTGCTCAACCTCTATCAACAACAGTGTGTTTACGCGTCTTGTTGCCACTGGTTTCCTCCTGCTGCTGAAGACGACGGTGATTGTCCCTTGAGAGGGCTGTACAGCACTGGCGACTTCGGTAGGGGTGCAGGGAAAGACAAGCAAGCGTGAGGGCGTTTGGAGACCTCCGGAGGCAGTAAAGCTGCTGAAATGGGTAGTCTTGCTCCAAAGGTGCTCTCTTTGTTGCTATAGCAGCAAAAGAACGATGGACGCGCAGCAGGAAGTCTGCTGCTGAGCAGCAGCTTCAGGAAGACGGGCTGATGCGCCGCATGCGAAGAGAAGGACCTCTAAGGAGGCCCTGAAGAGTAGACAGCAGGGTCATTCTAAGGTGGAGAATGTCATGCAGAAGAAAAAGAAGCAGGGCAGACCCAGAGCTGCGTGAAGTTCCAGCGGCACTCCCTTGTTCAGTCGTTCTTATGCTTTTCTCAAGCCCTTACGGGAACCACAGATGCAATAAGGAAATACTCTAAACGCCGATTCGGAAGTTTTAACCTGCTGGAGGAAAGAAACAGCAGCTGGACATGCAGTCAGGCCCCAGATCCCGCTTGTTACACTCTGTTCCGCTGGAAGACGGGTCGCAAACCCTCAAAAGCTTTGTTGCTTTTACAAATCAGATGATCAAGCACTGTGGCTACTAAGCAATAACAAAATGTATAGCCAATACAGCCGAAGACTAGGAAGCAGCAAGGATGGCGATCGCATGTGCCTTGCTTGGGCTGGTGGCTGTAACGATGTATGTACACACTGGGTTCTACAGAAGGTGGGCTACATCTAAAGAATTAGTTTTCTATAGTGCGTTTTAACTCCCCAAAGGGCTTGACGAAGCAGTGCAGTCAGCCATATTCCACAGGAAGCTAGGGAAGCCTGCCCCGCACGCATTCTCAACTGTCTCCGGTTTCGACCACTAGTATTTCTTGACTAGTTTCCAGACACCGCAGGTTCAATAACTATCTTTTCATGATGAGAGGCTGTCTACAGCGCACATGAATGGCAGTAATGGCAGTGTTTTCCGGACTGCTCCAAGTGTACTGGGGAATGGACATAGGCGGAAAATGTGCTGTACACGGACTACCACTTTAAAGAAATCAAAGCAGCAAATAAACCAGCAAGTCCATGAGCCATAACGCTTGCGTTGTATTCTGTCTGAGATTATGACTCAGCTAAAGCTGTGTAAGAAATACGCCCACGGCTTAGACGAGTTCCAGGGGCATTCGGGAGTTGCGCTGAATTATATTACCTAATAAGTTCACAAGGCTTTTATAGGCAGCTTCGTACGAACTGTTTAAGGAGTGGCTAGAGTCTGGAAAGAAAAAGAAGGCAACATTTAGTGACCAGGACGGAGAGAAGTTAGTTCCATCCGATTTTCAGGAGTACGGGATAAGAAAGCGATAACAGAAAAAGGTACCATAAGGTCAAAAGAACAGCACCCACTGTGAGGCGTAGAACTGGTGAGCGAATGCCTATGAAAAACGGCTCCACAGGCAATGTCCTTTGCAAACATAAAAACACCTGGTGAGGGATGCTGGACGCATTTCGCCTACAGCCATTGTTCCAAGCGTGATGCAAACTCCTACATTTCCCTTTAAACAAAAGCACTATTAAAGCATTGCATGCACTGTGTCCAGAGTGGAGGCCCTGCTGATGTTAATGCTTAGGAGCGTGACGAAGCCCTAAGGCCGGGTTGTTACAATCCCCTTCACCGGCATCCCTCTTATTAACTTGTAAGACTCCGTTGGTGGCTCTGGAATATCCCTTCTTCTAGCGATTCCAGTCGCAATTGTTCAGAAGCCGAGCACGCGTCCCGTCGAGCGTGCACGAGGGCCTGGCAACAGCGTGGATCAATAATTAAGTAACAAGTTTAGGTTAGCACAGGTGACAATGCGCATGAGGCATTTGTGCCATGCCCTTCTCCAGACTAATTCCTTTTACTTGTAATTGTTCTCCCATGCTGTGAGCAGTCCCACTTTGGCCGGTGGAGAAAGCCCTCTGCACGAGGCCTTTTGGTTAGGGGGTCTCTGTCTGCGCTTAAGAAGCCACACAACCCATGAATTTGGTGCAATGGTTTGTCGCAAAGAGATGAAAAAGGTAAAAACGGACAGACGAGCCGAGATTATCAAGGCGTTACAGCAGGGGGAGACAGCTGTATTGCGGCCTATGAGAAGCTTAGCTCTAGAGTGCAGAAGGATGATGATTTGATGGATTTTACGCATGCGCGAAAAGACATGTGCTCCGGCGTAGACCTCACATCAGACTCTCAGTCTCCGTGCAAGCAGTAAAGGCTCTGCATCCTCTCCGCGCCAAAGTTGAGGGCTGCAGAGTGCGTCGGAAAAAAGTGTCAAGCGCCTCAAAAGTCATCTAGGTGCGCCCTCCAAGATTCGTCTGAATGGCACCAGTGTAAACTCGCTGGTGAGTATTTTGTCTCTGCAAAAAGAAAATATAGGCAAGGTGTCTTTCAAAGGATAAATGGCTGAGTACTGCTCTCAAGCACTTGACACTTCGAGGTAATCGAGACATTGAACGGGATAGACGCCAGCGCTTTGTCACATCTACACCTCCCCTATGCTGCGACGAGCAAGTTTTTTTTGCCTTTGATGGCTTCTGTGATGTGGCCGCATAGCCCTGGAGGACCGTTGAGGTGATTTCGCGAAGAAGAGCCACCAGCGATTTAATCCGCAACACGAACAAGGGTTGTTTCGGCCTATCAAAAAGGGCTGAGCATTCAGTGAATGCGATGCGTATCACGCCGTGGAGGAGGACTGGAAACGTTCTACATTGCCTTTGGCAAGCCCCAGTCTACCCTCTCATCTAGTGCAGGTCTGGCTGTGCATGTTTTCCTACGTTCCTGCACTTCTGTGTTCTTCCCTATTTACTTTTCCGGCTGTTTACCAGTCGCTGTGCGTGCGTGCCCTGGCTGTTCGTTTAGTTGGCTGTTTTCCTGTGTGCCTTCACTTTTGTGCATGTCTACCGAACTTCACTAAACTTAAGGTCGACTCATCCCTAGACAGTCCAAAGAAAACATGGCATACCCCTCGAGCTCCGAAAAAAGCTTCACTTAAAACAAAATGACAAGCGGCGCCAGCAACTTTCAGTTGGCGCATGCCCTGTAATAGTGGGCAAGCAACACGAAACGGTTACCCTGCTGTAGTCTCGGGGTGAACAGGCAGGACCTTCGTCACTTCTATCAGCTGCTGTCTATTCCTTTTGTCATTTGCAAACATTCGGAGTTCCTTCACAAGAGACAGCTCGATCCCAGGAAGAGCCAGCGTCCAATCCAAACTTTGCTCAGATCGGTCACCCGTTGGGCTATGTAAACCCCGTAACGTCGCTCGAGACTCGAGGCCATCTACGTCGCGGGAGACCTGATGATCCTCAAGCATCTGTAGGTCTTCAGAGCCCTGTGGGATCGGTATATTCTGCGGGGTGTGCAACATTGTTTTACAGCCAAATGGGTGCTGCGAGTCCTGGGATGTTTGTGGGCTGGCTGTGAGCTTTGGGGTCTCTTGAGGTGTTTGGCCGTTCTGTAGGATTCGGTCTATTGGGCAAGATGCGCTGAGGTTGTCTAAAAGAGCCAAAAATCCACCAATGGTCCTAACGTGATGTGACACAGCAGCTGCAGCTCTCCTGCCCATGCCAGGGATGCCCAGGGCGAACAGCAGCTGCTGCAACGGGACACCACGGCCTTGAACTTGCTCTATCTCTTTAAACAATGCGTCGCGAGCCTGAGGTCCCCACCCAGGCCAGCCTGCAATGCCACTCTCTCCGGCTGCTGTCCTTTGCCTGTCCACCTGAGCTAAGTGGAAAGCATCACTGGGAGCTTCCAAGTACCCTCGGCTTATGAGGGCCTCCAGGGCACGGGGTCCTAGCCCAGCCACCGCGACACCCTCGCGTGAAAAAAAACGACGCAAACGCAGCAGACGTTGAGATGCACAAGCCCATCCACCAGGGCACCACAGAACACCGAATGCTTTGTCCCCTCTTCCACCTTCGCCTTCTCCTGTTACAGCCTCTTCTCCGACAAATGTACGAACACTGGAAGCAGCAGGAGCGGCTACAGCTACTTTAGCTGCGCTGCACTCTTCACTTCTTCTGTCACTTCTGTCCTTCGCTTCTAGTCTCTGCTTGCACCTTTTTGAAAGCTTGCCTGTAGGCGATGACCGCTCTATCAAGCCCCGGCCACAGGACGGGCAGGCTGAAGGCAGTAGGGCAGGCTCTGCCCCTTCCTCCCTATCCTCCAGATCAACCGCAACTATGTGGGGTACAGATTCCCCCTTCAACTGTAAGTGAACCCAGTCCCCAACTCTGACGTCTTTTCTTCGCACTTCCTGTGGGGAGTGCAAGGAAGCCCTCGCAACCAAAACACCCCCCAGCAACACTGGCTGCAACAACGCAACGGGCGTGCATACACCTGAAGACCCAACGGTCCACTCAATCCCTACAACTTTCGTCTTGGAAACCTTTGCTGCGAATTTCAAAGCAAAGGCCCAGCGCGGCGCTCTCGCAGTGCTGCCTAGGCGCTGATGCAGCGGCAGCGAATTTACCTTAAACACCACACCGTCACAAGGGATATCCTCCAGCTGAAAGGAACAATCCGCTGCTAAACTAGCCCCTGCCGTACGAGGGCTACTTGCTCCAGCGGAGCGTTCACGAGCCGCACCGGACACATAAGAAGTGCCATCGCCAAAAAGTGCTGAATTAGTGACACCGCCGCCAACAGATGCTGGGTTGATTGCACCGCCGCCAAGGGGCGCTGAATCTGCATTACATCCATGATGACGGCTGGCGCCATTAGCATGAGGCGCACCAGCAGTAGCAGCGTGAAGAGCTCCAAGGTTTGACATATATATTTCATGACATCGGCTTTGCTCACTGAAGGCTTTCAGAGCGTCTTTGCGTCCGACTACCAAAGGACAGTGTGGCAACAACACTTCAAACCCCCATTGCTGGAGCCGCTGCAGAAGCTCAAGTTGCGTAGTGACTCCAGCAACAGCATTACCCGCCGCACTTGCAGCCGCAGCTACTGCCGATATACTGGCTCTGTGAGTGTCCTGATGGTCATTCTGGTGTCCAGACAGTGCACTGTCCGATGCCCCAACCAGGGCATAAGCACAGAAGCGAATGGCACAATTTGCCTCTTCGTCAAGACGTCGCAGCATTCCCACAACGGCATGCCTGCGCCACCAACAGCAACAAAAGTAATAGCAATAGAACTGAGTGTAGTAACAGTACACGGCTACGCTGCCTTTTCGTGGCTGCAGCGTATATGCTCGAAAAAGAAGCAAAGATACGTGAAGACGACACAAAGAGACGTCCGGAAGCAGAGCAGTGTGCTCTGCTTCCGGACGTCTCTTTGTGTCGTCTTCACGTATCTTTGCTTCTTTTTCGAGCATATACGTGATGCCAAATATCTAAGCAAGCCTCTCGAACCAATATTTCAACTATCCTTGCCAGTCTGCTCCTACGCATTTGTGTCCGTCTCCCCGTGTCAGTATCTGTTAAGTTGTCTTCGTACAGTAGCGCGTATCGACGCTATGTTTTATGTGTTGCCTTGCCTTGGGGTCGAAAACGGCTTCAGTCCCTCCATCATTCTTCTTTTGTTTAGTGCAGAAAGCGCAGATAAGCACATATAGGCCTCGCCCCTCACCTCTAGCGTGCGCGGCATGCCAAATACCCCTTGTGCCGCACTCGGTGCTGCTGCCACTGCAGTTGTTGGTGATGCACTAGTTGCTCTCCTCGTTTCCTTTGTAGAAGGAACATCAATTACAAGAGGGAGAGCACCCGTATGCGCCATCTGCAGCGCCTTCTGCGTTATGCTTTCACCCCGCCGTCCGTCGCCCCTTGTCAGTGCCCTCACCAGCCTGTAACGCAGAATGCCTCCGCCAGTATTATCGCCGCTATTGGTGTTGCTACTGCTTAGCTCATACGTGAGAGATACGCTCTGTCCGTCCACTTTAGGCTCCATCAGCAACGCCTCAGCAAACACATCCCCTCCAGCAGCAGCATCCGTTGCGGCAGGCACTGTAGTTGTGGCCTCTGCTACTGCTGCTGTAGCAGGAGCTGCTGCAACTGACTCATACAAAATGCCTGCAGTATTTGTTTCTGCTGCAGCTTTTAGTATGCATTTGCGCCTTCGACTTCTTCCCACAGACGTCCTGAGCACCCCGTGCAAAGCCTTCGCAACAAATCTGAAATAGCAGCAGAAGCAGAAGCAACGCAGAAGCACGAACAGCAAGCTAGCGAATGCCTTTGAGGACCGTAGGGTGCTCACACGCTTCTTCAGTTGGCCCTAGGGCAAAAGCCTAGCCGAAAAATTAACAGGCCTTACACCCCAGACCCCGGATGTGTAGATTTTAACCGCAAGCCCTACACCTCCCCTCGCATGTTTACCTGTCGAGTCGATCGAAAAGGGTATTGGCCTCTCCAGGCGAATGAACGCTTTCCAGAGATAGCACCGGGGACACATGCTGTAAGTTTCCTGCTGCTGTTGCTGTTCCAAGGGTCCCGTGGCCGATGCGCCGGAGAGGACTGCTGGGGCCGCCAAGTCCGGGATACTTCTGCAACAACAGGCAACCAGTAAAAGCTGGTAGGAGGGTGTGGCAGCACTAAATTCGCGACGTAAAAATGAGTGAGGATTCAATAAGCAGTTCTTCCGTTGACGTGGAGATGGGTAACGCCAGCAGCCGCTTATAACTCCTGCTCCTGTTTTACACTGCCCTTTGTTTCTGCGGCAGCTGTTGCTGCACTGATGCCACTACTGCTTTTACTGCTACTGAAGTAACTACTTGTGTTGCTGCTCCTCTTGTTATTGCTGCTGACCTTTTCCAGTTCGCCTAACCGCAGCCATAAAGCGTCAAACTCTTCATCTGAGGCCAAAGGCTCTTCCCCTGAATAGTAGGCCTTATTCAGCTCATTAATTTTACTGCACAGAAGCGTGTGCGCAGCAGCTGCTGCCGCTTTCCCTGGCGCTGCTACCGCGGGTGCTACAGCTTCCCCCGTTGCATTCGTTGCAACGGGGGCGTTCGCTGCTACTGTTGAGGCCGCTACATCCTCAGTATTGCGCCTGTTCTGCGCAGCCCCTCCAAAAACAGGGGCTCCATACGAATATCTCGTGCTGATGGCTTTGCTGCCTCTCCAGTTGCCGCTGATGGTTTTACTACTGATGTTGCTCCTCAGCATTGACTGTAGCCCGTGCCACCTCAAGCACGTCATCACAGTGGTTATGGGGAAGCCATTAGCTAAGGAAGGCTGGTTCCGCTGCTGCTTTGGCAGCTGCTGCTCTGCAATAGTTTGGAACGGCCTGCTGCACGAAAACGTAGTAGACGCTCCGCTATTCCTGAAGGCAGGGGTCCGCATGTCCAAGAAAGCCGCTGATGCTGCCTCGATGCTTCTGGCTCTCAAACAGCAACTTGCTGGTAGAATGAGCCGCTGCAGCTTGTGCTCCGCGCTTTCGGCAGGGCAGCTAGGGTGCTGGATAGCAGTAGCAACGACCTTGCTGCAGTGCAGCAGCAACAGCATCTGTGACAAATGATAAACTCGTGAAGCTAAAGAGTCCTGCATTTGCCTCGGCCTTCGCTGTTACAACTGCCGGCGCCGCAGCAGGCGTTTTACTCTTCTGCGTAGAAGTCCTTCCGTTAAAATATGCTTGTTCCTGTTATAGCAGGCTGCGCAGCTGCTATTATTATTGCTGCTGTCGGGGTCCATGCTGACGGTCAATCTGCAGGTCGGCAGCCCGCGTTTATGCACCATTCCTTCAATATTCTAGGGAATCCAGGGAAACAAATCGCCTTGGCAGCTCACACATGCGCTGTGCCTGCAGCTGTTTCAGCTGCGCCCTGACTGTCGTGTGCGCTCCCGATCCATTCTTTCGGGTCAACCTCTGCTGTTGCCGTTGTGTTCTTGTTTGTTTTTGCGAGTTCGTCTGCAGTGTTCCCGCTGTTGCTTCTGCTGCTGCAGATGGCCTGTGCATCTACTGCTCGGCACGATCCAAAGAAACTGAGCCACACTCAAACTGAATGCAGAGCAGCATATCTCTTGGTGATGCTGCTTTTGCTGTCACCGACAGTACGCCAAATTGATCTCAACGATACTCAATGCACAGGAGATCTGAGAATCGAAGTTCCCGCGAGGCCGCTGATGCCGAACGGTGGCAACAGTTCAGGAACTATGCAATAATGTAAAGACTTTATTGTACAGCCCATGCCAATTTTTTTGCAGTCCTAGTTCTATTGTTCTTTTTAGCGGCGGGTTGCATGTGTTGGGGCTGCAGCCGCTGGAAGTGGGCCCCACAGCAACTTCTTCTGCTCTAAATTGGTAGTACGTTTCTCACGTAATTTAGTACCATGCTGCAACCGAGGGAGAAGTAGCAGCTGGAGTAGGAGCGGAGTGTTCTCTTCTTCAAGGGTGGCCCCAGCACTACGGGGCTCCCTTGAGGGCTTATCGCTGTTTTTGTTGCCTTCGTCACCGTTTTTCTACATGGTTTCTTCACAGTATGTTTTCTATTTACAGATTCAACCAGCCTATCCTGCAGGTCCTCTCCAGACATGCTCAAGAGGTAGTACTCTCCACTGCATCCCCTGCGGGAGCGGCTGCTAATAGAGCAACTGCGTCTCCTGTAACAGTTCCTGCTTCAGCTTCTACTCAGCCCACCAAATCTGCTCTGACCAGATGCTGCGGCGGGAATACTCACTGCTGCAGCGTGACACCAGCGTCTGCGAGGAGCTGCAGCAGCAACACGTCGTGCTGCAATATTGCTAGCCAGCTGCCCGAAGACGAAAGCACTAACTGCTTCTGCTTCAGCAATGCGCCCTCTCAGCAGAATGACAATGGAGATGAGTACATCCGCAAAAGCAGCCAGTGCTGCAGCAACAACAGCGTGGACTACCAGATTTGGTATGACCCTGAGGGCCGACTGTGTGAAGGCCTGGCCCTGCTGTTCTCTCAGCAACTGCAGGCTGCGCTCAACCTGGATCACCAGCAGCCGCAACAGATACTGCGGAATTTATCCCATCAGAGGTCACAGCGACACGATACGACATCACTAATTGTAGAAGGCCTTTTTGCTGCGCAAATGATGAACAGCAGCAGCTATTGCGGATCAGTTACAGCTGAGTCGGGCGGCCACCAACGGCAGCATCAGTTGAATACACTAGCAAGAAAAGCAGCCTTGGCTGTAAAAGGTGCAACTGTTTCAACGCAGCCACTCAGTGGCGTGACTCTAGAGGTCCTGCTCGATGTGTGTCAAGGACTTACCAAAAGCAGCGAAACACGTAGGCGTCCCCTGCGAGATGTGTGCGTGTTCCTATTTGTGGAAAGTGTAAACGGGAGCCTGATGCCGTTCTCTGCTGCCTTCGTTTCTGAGGTTGCTGGAGCACTGGCGGATAGAAGGATTATGCAACATCCCCTCAGGGGATGCGCTATCTCGCTCGTTTGTTGTGATAGAACGCCACCAGTAATCGCAGCGCCAGTACCACCAACGGCGGCTCGTGGGGAAGCAGACCGTGGTTTTGAGCAGCACCAGCAAGCTCAGGCTGAAAGGGGCGTCACCACTTCTAATGCAACAGCAAGAGGGAACAGTTTTAGCAGCAGAGCCAGTAGAGTAATCAAAAAGCTTGCAGGGAACTTGGTGAAACTCGGATCAAGCTCTCTGCTGCAGCAGCAACAGCAGTTGTTGTGCTTGACATTAGGTGCGAATGCTGCTCTGGCAACGACTGCCAGTAAGTATTGTCAGTGGGCAGACTGTGCGGTGGAGCTTGTGCTTCAAAGGCAACAACAGCAGACAGCAGCACGGCCAGCAAGCTACTGCAGCGACACTGACACATCTGACGTATCAAGTGCATGGATGTTCAGCAGCTCGGAGGACGAAGAGCAGCTGCAACTGGGGTATTCTGGTAGCTGTGGGCCTTTGCCGTCTGACGTGGAAGACCTGGTAGACTCATCACTGCAGCCTCGCACACCCTCAGCAGCATCAGCATCAACGGCACCGGCAAGAAAGGCCACGGACGCTGAAATATCTGGTTCACCTGAGCAGCTGACTCCTCGTCTTCGAAAGAATTTGAGCAAGGAGGGTTACAAGCTAGTGGGCACTCACTCAGCAGTGAAGCTGTGCCGTTGGACAAGGTCGGCTTTAAGGGGGCGTGGCGGCTGTTACAAGCACACTTTTTATGGAATCAAGTCTTTTGGTTGCATGGAGTTCACCTCCTCTGTCGCCTGCGCGAACCGCTGCCTCTTCTGCTGGAGGCACCACACAAATTTGGCAGCAGGTGACTGGAGGTGGAAGGCAGACGATCCGCAAGACGTACTTCGTGAGGCAATGGATAAACACCTTAAGGCAATCAAGGAGCTCAGAGGTAGGCGGTCACTGCCTTCAACAACATCAAAAGCGGCAGGTGCTACTGCTCCCTTTTGAGCACGGCTAGCTTCATCATCATCGCGCTGCGGCTGCAGCGGATATACAAGAGGTGTACTGTTCAACCTGCCGTAGAATAAATAGGTAGCATTTCTGTATTTTTAATTGGAGTTCTCTATTTGCTTTCATAGACTTGTCTTAGCTTCTTGCGCTTTGGCTTTTTTTCGTACAACCGTTCGTCACAATTTTTTCGTCGTCGTCTTTTTCATTTTCAGCATCCATATTTACCCTATATTTTTCGCTTTACTTTTTTGGTTTATTTCGCGCGTTTCCGTCTCTTGCAGGTCTTCCTGGCTTGCGTGACGATTTCTACTCCGAAGTTAAAGACCAAATATTGCACTGCGCGCTTTCATTGGTTGGGGAACCAATCATGTACCCCCGCATCAACGAGTTGTTGCACCAAATGCATCAAAGACGCATATCCACTTTCCTCGTATGCCCGCAAGAAGTGTTGTTTATCCCACTCGCTTCTTGCCGCCGTTGCTTCTGCTGTTAGGGCCACTGCTATTGCTGCTGCTGTGTGTTGGGCGCCGTTACCCCGGTGAAACTCGACGAAAAATGCTTTCGTCTTTCTTTTCAGGTGACAAATGCACAGCACCCAGATGCTTTGCGTGCCCTGTGCCCCGTCACGCAGCTTTATCTTTCGATCGATGCAGCGACAGAGAGCGACCTTAAGCGACTAGGCAAGACCGTCATCCCAAGCCCTGTCGCCGTCTGTTTCCGAGTGTGCCTCTGTATTCTCGATTTGTGTCTTTGTTTGAGTCTTTATATTTCTGTTCCTGTGATTCTTCCCCTTTCTGCTGAGCTTCTCGTGTTGCTGGAAACTCTGTGTTTCTTCGCCGCTTGTCTACTTCCCTGTTTCCTGATCAGTCGCAGTGTCTGCACGATTGTCTCCCTGTATTGGCTCGCTTCTATCTGCATCTGTCTCCTGCTTTTAGTGGCAGTTTTTCCTGCCATTGTTTTTGTTCATTTAAAAACTTCAGCACGCAATGCATGAGCGGTGGAAAATGCAGGCGCGGTTTGTTGGACCTAGTTCTGGGTTGTGCCTGGTTGAATGCTTGCAGACAAGCCCGTACACCGGGACTCATGGTTGCGTTTCCTGAGTTGTATAGACATTCTTAAGACAAAAAAGCAAAGGACAGTATTCAGGTTGACGCTTGTTCACGGTTACAACTGCATACTAGGGCCTGTTGCAGATGCTGGCACCAGTGAGCCGGCGAACAGCCACAACGCCGCCAGCAACAGCGGTAGCAGTACAAGTAATACGAAGTATGCCAAAGGAGTGACGAGCACGCTTGATAAATACGCTTCTTTGGTGCTACGAGGCGAGCCTGACATGATTGAAATTAAAGGAATGACATTTTGCGGTGGCCTTGACAGGGAGTCTCTGTCGATGCAAAATGTCCCGAGACACCAGCAGGTGACCGGTCGTTCGCACAGCCCCTCTTTACTTCTCTTTCCTTTCTCATATATCCTGAGCAGGAGCTTTAAACCATCGGCGCACTACAAAATTGCCGTAAATGGCCAATGGCGCTGCATTTGCCTTAGATACATCTGCATTTGCCTCCCTTTGTCAGCCTCTGTGTATGTTTTTTTGTTGCTCACCCGAGGTATCTGTCATCATGGTGGGGCAGGCAGGGATGTGGGGCTTATCGTAGGTCTTGGCATTCGCCGATGGCCTGCGACGGGCACTGCCAGAGGGGCTTTATGGACTGGCGTCGGAGCATGAGCACTCTTGCTGTGTTCTACTGGCGCACAAGAAGTAAGTCTTCTCCGTTCACTTTAGTTATCTGATCGATTCTTCTGTCCTTGCAGATTTCTCTTTATTGTCACTTGCGCTTCTTTGATCCGTCATGTCCTGTATCATTTGGCTGCCGTCAATTCCTTGGTGTATTTATATATTTTGTGCCCGTCCTTTTGCTCGCATGTCGGTTCGTTAGTGTTATATTTCTTCGTTGCCACATGTATTCCGCTGTTCCTTCTGCTGAGGGCTTGAGAGGAATTACTGGCGGATCTGCTGTTGCCTTCAGGTACTTTTATGAGGGCCAGTGGCACACGTGGATTGACTACCCCAAATTTTTTGTTCTGGTGTGCCCCTCTGTTGTCTCTGCTCTAGTGAAGAGGTGCAGTAACCGTGTATCCCGTGCAAACGCAGCTCGCAGTTCTCGCTGTGTTTCCTAGATATATTTAACAGCCAGTATTTGCGTCCTTACATAAAATAATGTGCATTGACTGTCAGCTGCAGGTGGGTGTGTGAATTTAAATACGCATGAAGTTTATCCGTGCACGTAAATTGATACTTTTGCATTTATGGATGCATGCGTGCGCACGTACACTTACCTGCATGTGCGCATGTGCATGAACACCAACATTTGTTGCTACGTAAATGCCAGTGACAGTGTGCGGCACTGTGGACTGTGGATCTCTCATATGCGCTGTTTTATATCTGCGCTTGATGGATTTGTAATAAGGCTCTGAGCGGGGATCTAAACTTTAGTGGCATTGACTACTCGGCGCCCACACCATCCTGGGCCATCTTTGGAGCCGAAGGTCGCGGGTTCGACCCCCAGCAAAAGCGGTAAACCTGTTCCGTGGCCTTCATTACCATGTGTCTACTTTGTGTACGTTTGTACATGCATTCGCCGTTCCTTTGTAGGAACTTTTGTGTCGGGTTGATGCATGCACTTCCTTCTTGGAGCAGGGACATCAATCGAGAAGGAATGCTTGTACCTTCCAAACTGTTGCCTCGGGTGCACAGTTTTCTTTAGGAGGCAGGATGCACTTGGGCCTCCCCGTCAGCGTTTTTGCCTGCATGTGCTTGCAAATTAAAACGTATTCGCAAGTAGGTGTTCCACATCGTTATATGATGAAGTGCACTGATATGGATGAGTTTTTCATTGGCCGACGCAGGGTATTTGGCAAGGGCCGGAGGAGGAGAGAGTTGGAGCTGTCTCAACAAACGTAACAAACGCGACAAGAAGAAGAGAGGAATAGGAAAACGAATGTTTGGAGGAACACAGACCGAACCTGGGAGGACTGCGTTGGACGTCAGCAGATGTACTACTGCAAGCACATCTTAAATTTGTTGACTTGTGTGATGCGGGCAGCGCATGCATGCACATGTGTAGCAGGTTTCCTTGTAGGTTGCAAGCACGTTGTAGCAGTGCCTGCAGAACATTGGCAATACTGAGTAGACCATGTACTTCGTTGCCTTTTAAACGTACACTAGCCTTGGAAAGCTCTACTTCCATTGGGAAGAGTTGCCCACTGCGTCGTCAGCCGAAGCATGCCTTCGTTATTCTCCATCACGTGGAAACCCCACAGGGAATACAAAATGCGGTGTAAAAATCCAACAGAGGTGGAGAATGGAAGTAGCGGCTTGAGACCGACACAAAAAGCACAGACAGCGGCGAACGAACACGAAACAGCTCCCACCAGTTCGCACTTAGTGTGCAGAAAGGATACGAACATAGGGGAACGCAACTACGAACTTTTGGCCGCAGAGAGCTTAAAATTGCAGATGAACCTAGGAAAAGTACACGACCTATATATGCACGTATGATTTCCAGCGGTCTCTCCAGTGCCCTGAGGTAAATGAACAGACAGGATAGAGAATCAACGGGACTCTCGCATTTCCCTATCCGCGGTCCACCCTGGCTCGCGGAAAGTTGACAGCAACGGAGAAGCGTTTTCAAACTGGAGGTTTTCGTCCCTCGGACGCTCCACCACCAACTGTCCTCTCTGCTTTCTCCCTTTCATCATTGATTTCCTCTACCCCGTTATCCTTTCCCTCAACTTGTCGGTTGACCTCTTCGCTGTCTTCGACATCTTCAGAGTCTTCCTCACTCTCTGCCGAGGTGTTTGTATTTTCGCTTTCCAACTCATCCGCATCTCCTACTGGTGTTGCCCTGCTGCTGGGATGGTTCCTCGCTGCTTGTGCTGAAGCTGCACTCGCTTCTAATACTGTAGCTAATACTCTAGCATGCTTGACCTGTGCTTCTGTTTGTGAGGCAAGAGAGCTGTGGCTGGCGATAACGCCTTCGGGAGAGCCTGTTGCGCCAGCATCGACCTCCCGTTCCATTGCCGAGGTCGTAGCAGACATATCAGCCACAGCAGCAGAAGGCTGCTTGTGTTTAGCGATCAGTTGTTGCATTTCGCCGTCTACCTCCGTTTCCAGCTCGGCTGCCTCTCGGCTTTCCAACTGGCGCACTTCGGCTTCCGCCTCGAGCAAATCGCGCTGGACTTCCTCAATGGTTGCCACGCCCGCAGGCTGGGGGTGTTTGTCTTGGGCTGTTGCTTCTTCTGGTGGTTCTTCTGCTGGCGCCAATCTGCGACATTGCCAAAAGCGTGCCATGTAAAATCCCCTGTTTTCGTTTGCTCCCTAATTACCGCTCGATTGTCCTTTCCAATCTGCACTTAGCGCAGCTCAAAAGCATTAAGAGGAGAGAAAATTTGGAGCTTCCTGCAATATTTACCGTTCTACATCGCCCTGGGGCATCTCCTGGGGCCTCTCAGCTTGTAACACCTCCTCAAAAGCATGTCGCCGAGGGGTTTACAGGCAGATCCTCCGTGCATAGCCAATAGAGTAGGTCGTAATAGTAGCACGCTACCTCAGGTGGTTCTCGCGCCACTTTCGCTTCGGAGGGAGGCAAGCATTTTATGGGTTCTACCCGAGTCCCAGACCTCACCGCGACCGGCAATGCAATTGCTGGCCTCTGTGGTTGGGCGGGCTTCAACGAAGATTTGCTGCTCTTCGCTCGTTCGCTCGTTCGTTTATCTCTCCAGTGTTGGCGGGAATTCTCCAATTCTTCTTCGAAAGCTTGGATTTTGTGCGCTGCTGAAGCCGACGAGTTCCTTCGATCAGTTCAGCAGATTTTCGGCATATGTAACGTGGCGTCATTAATTTGTACGGCAACTCACTTTCTGACGGCTTCTAGGTGTTCTTCGAGCTCCTCCAGGGTCTCGTTCACGTCATCGACATCGCTGTGGAGCTGTTGCTGCTCCTCTGCAGGAACCTGGAACGCGGTTGCGAAATGTAAGGCCTGAAGAAAATTTCGAAGTGACGCGCTATTCGATTGGAAGCACCAAAGATGTACCCGCTGGTCACAACGCCGACGCTGCACATCTTTCAGAGAGGAAACAAGGTGAACACAAACTTCTGAACCGACGGCAAGAGCGAACAAAAGATACCAAAGAATCATTGTATCAACTCATTACTATTCTAGCCGTAATTCGTAGTGAGGAATGCAAAATGCCGCTGCCTACAAGACGCCTGCGGTCGATGACACCTGCAGACACCCTGCTCTACATTAAGCTGCGGCTCTCCAACTTCTTCATTTTAACTGAGAAACTTTGACATATATCCTAAATTTACGCAAAGTTTCGTCTATGTCTGCCCTATACGCTCTTTGTTTACCACCAATGGTTTCCAACCCGAAGTTAGGTGTGCCGCAAAATGTCGGATCTCCGCGAATGCAGCAACGCGCCAACAAAGGAGATACGATGGTGATCAAACTACGTGATGTAGGCAAACAGACTTATGTTCTTGGGTGATTTTGATTTTGACTCCTGCTACCTGTGGTTTGCGTTCGGGCGCCCCAGCAAAACCAACAACTGCTGTGCAACAAGAAAACAGCTAAGCCGCGATCACTTACACCGCAACTGCCCGACTGCTCTCTCAAGGCTTGTGCAACTGGCACGCTTGAGCCACACTGTGTAGTTACCGCATGGCGTGGCGGCAAACCGAAGATCATGCGCGTACCTGCATCCTCAACTGTAGCACACACCTCATTTACGTTGTTGCTGTTTCCCGCAGTTCCAACTTTAAAAAAACAAGCTGCAGTGGACACGTCCATGTCGCACGTCCATGTCAGCGCCTCGTGTGGCGCAGCCCATCTGGCTGCTCCTACTGCGCCGCATGTGCAGCTACATGAAAGGTGCTGCGCAGTGTTGTATACTTGATAATATACGCTCTTGCATCACCGCTTCACCAGCTGCCTACGAACTAACATGATTCACTCGTAAGAACCGAACTAGTTAGTAGCCGTAGTTGCCGAATGAAACGAGGAATTCATCTCCCAAGTGCTCCTTGACCATCTTCGCCGTTATCGAATGATCTGCCGCCCCGTACTGATATGAATAGCCATAGATTTCGACCTTTTTCTCCGCCCGCAGTACACTCATGCGACCACCTCCCGTCACGTCTGCATTTGCACAAAACACAGCAGCTACACAAACACGGAAGTTAGCAGTGCCTGCCAGTATGTGAGCAACAGGGAGCCCAAACACCTTGAAACGCAGGCGCTACTAGCGTCCTGCGGAGAGTAGAAGACTAAAGACCCCACACTAGGCCTTGAATTTCCGGCAACTACGCAGATGGTGTGCAAGTTCAATTATCTGTTCTGCAGGAACAGAGAATCCAAGGAGTGCCATGCGTTGCAGCGCCTCAACTCTTACCCGACATGATGTTGCGTGACTGAAGCGCGTTGAGTGTGTCCAAAGCTGTTTGGTAATGGTATTCGGCCTTAGGGTCCCCGCGGACAAGGTACACATCGCCAACCATGTCATCTTGTTTCGGTATTTTTATGAGGGTGTACTTCTGTATGCCGTCGCCCACAATGACTGCTTGCAGGGAGGACGAATACTCGTGCGTGCTCTGTTTGTTTGCTTCCGCAGATTCAGGAGGGTTCTTTGCTTCCCTCTGTTGCTTGCGCATTTCTACTAAGCGTTCGGTCAACGCCTGAGTGGCAAGTTCAAGCGAAGGCCGATCCAGAGGCGACGCCTCAGCGAGCTCGTCATTCAAAACCTCCAACGCTAGCTCTACCTCTTCAGGGGTTCTCTGTGAGTGTCCAGACCTCTCCATCTTTCTAGGACAAGTCACGCGAGAGAAGAGGTGCTCTTTGAAAGGAAACCTTCTGTGCACGTCCGTTTGGTCGGCAGGAGTGCGACCACCCGTTGGCTGAGTGACGTCGTCCGTGCTGTGCCCTTCTAAGCTGGTGGCACACTGGATACTGGAACCCGAAGGTGTGGTACGGCAAGAAGTGGCAGCGCTCCTCTCCTTTACAGATCCGCTGTCTGACTCGACCTGAGAAGGCGCTAGAACCGAATCCTCCGCAGTTTCCTGGGCCAGTCGCTTCGTACGAGCTGCTCGTACAACCCCCCAGGAGGAACTTGGTCTTTTTTCCCGGTGGTGTTTGATATGGCTAGAAAACGCCGCAGGAAGCATGTGCCGGTCTGCTCAGCTGCAGCGGCTGCAGTAGTCTGGAAGCACAGAGCAAACCTCCGCACGTCCCCTACGGTCCGTCTAGTATGAGACTTTCTGTATTTAATTTCGTCTTTCGTAGTAAGCTAAAGAAACTTGAGGAGAGGAAAGTCCCATGAAGGTAAGCACCAGAAGCAAACGCAACAGCCTGCTATGCAAGTCAATGAATGCAGTGGGCCCCACGGGGACACACAGCTCTACCACAAAGTGTGTTTAAATATGTGCAGATAGATCAAGAACTAGGTTTCAATCACGTCAAGATACTCCTGCCAACTGACACGCCCACGAGAGAACAGGAGTCGAAGAATTATAAAGATGGCCACCCTCCTACCGCTGTAGCTGCCTTGCAGCGAAAACAACACACGAAATTTCGAAGAGCTTTGAGCTTGAAATTTGGGCCTTCCAGAGCCTTTTGTATTATATTTTAGGTTTTGTGGATGCCTTATCGGGAGACTATCGAACGTTCCTCGACTAACGGCACAAGGACGTTCGTCAGTTTTTCGCTGTGATGGCCTTTGACGGGCTCAGCTTATGCGCAGCAGAAAACGTTACTCAAAGCAGTACTTCCACTGATAAAACCAAAAAGAATAGCACCGAGGAACATGTTTGTCTTGGGTTAAGGGGCGGCTCCGGCAGGAGCAATCTGCGCAAACACAAGACATACGGCGAAGCCGTTTCTTTTTTACATGGAACAGCGTTTCTTCATTCTGCAGGGCTCTTCTTAGCGGAAGTGGAATATCTGAAGGACACTGAGCATCTTGCAGTAGCGTACGTTCACACCAGCTCGGCCCAGTAACTCTAGTTAATGGGTAGGGCAGAAGAAAGGACCCAATATACAATTAACTGCCACCTGCATGCCGTCTGTGGAAGGCGCTACAGTTGCAACAACAATGTGCTTCAGAATTACACAGCTAAAAGGCCTTGTGTCCTAAAGTTGGTAACCAAGTGGTAGCAACTGAATTGAAAATGTTCATTGTGTAGGTCTGTAAAAGTGGGAAGAGATCATTCTTCTTCTCCAGCGACAAAATACTCGTCTTGATGTGCACCGTTAGTGCAACGAGATTTTTCCTAAGCTCACAGATGTGCTGGGGGCCAATTGGTACTCAACAGGATGTGCTGAGTTCGGCAAAATGCCACAACTTCAGTAAGATCCCCCATATGAGATCCTGTTTTCTGCTGCCTATTTATTGTTAACATCACCTTGAGGCGCTAACAATGCTGCCATTTGAAACCTATAGCCACACGCTCGACACAACAGGCTCCTATTCTGTTGCACAAAGGCCCTTCTACTTGACTATGAAGGGAAAACGAGGTGTCTTTTGTGTACTGTTCGCCTTCACGGTTTACAAGCACTTTCAGATCGAAACGAGGCATTTTTAATGTACTGTACACCTGCACGGTTAGCAGCTACTTCGGCTCTACACGCATGAAACTAGTCGCTATTTGTATAAAGACAAGACTTGGATCTGGAAGTGTTGGTTCCCTTTCAGATGTGTAGCTCAGGCTTGGTCCTGCCCTGCTGCGCATTTTATCCTCCCCCTATTTAAACTAAACGGTCTTCTTCCGAGTTTTCCAGCTGCGCAACATTTGCGGTTGCCTCCTCTGTGCTTGTCAAGCATGACAGCTTGCCAGCGTGTGTACTCCATAGGCAGCCGTTTGCTTCACGGGTGGTGTTGGTGGGGCACGCCTATTAGACTCAGGGGCACAGCGAAATTAACATCCTTGAGCCTAAAGAAAACACTAAGATGTTTCATACTCGAAATCCTTGAAAGCGGATACTTTTCTTAGAGAAGATGCGAAATCAGTATTGTGGGAACGCCCACCGTAATCGATCATTTTTCTGTATCCTTTGAAAATCTGTACATCAGGGTCAAGGGAATGCTGTCTTTTCGCTTCTAGCAAATGCGGCAATTCGAAGTCCTTAAGCTGCTTGCAAGTTGCACAACGGATTGTTGCTTAGCGTGGGCGTTGAATTGGATATCTACAGCGCCTGCAAAGTGGTATTGCGATTATTCCACGTCTCACTTTGTTTTGTTGAGTTACTTCAAATGGGGAAGCTTACATCAGAGCTGCCAGGTAGTTGACCTAACTGATGAGGCATGAGACTTGAACAACGGCCGGAACCCTCACTGGGTAGAACTCTGCACAATTCCTTGTCCAACAATTATCTGTCCCTCCGCTCCTACGATTTGTTCTTTCGTCAATCATCGACATTTATGGAGTGTGAATGACACTTACTGAGGGCGTAATCCCATCTTGATACATCTTAATTCAACTCTGCGGCTAGGAAAGCTTCTTTTCCCGTTGACGAAAAATACGGAAAGGGCCCGTTGATCAAAGTGGAAGCGGCTCGCACTTTTGCTGCTTCCTTAATTGTCTGTTTACAATAGACACAATATATAAATTTAATCGATCAATGTGACCCTTTAGTAAAAATAGAGCATCTTCTAGTCTCATCTTCGGAACTAAATCGCTTAAGTTTCATCATTACTTGCAAAATTGAAATTATCATTAAAAGGTTAACCACTTACAATTTTTGGACCAGCGCGAAAAACACAAAAGCAGCAACAATGCTTTCCTTACACATTATTCGGTATCTTTGGCGTTTAGAGACAGTCTGTCACCATGCAGCCAGATACGGGGTCTATGAAAGGGTAAAACTGGGCCTATTTCATTACAACTCTGTGCCATTCGGTGAAATCCATAATTCTCCGTACATGTATGTAGGTAAATTGACTCTTTCGAGCCACGGGGGAATTAGCGCCGTACCTATCAGAGTTGCGCTCCGACAGAACCGACAGAACCGGAGAGTGATTGGCAAATAAGGCACAGTTCCCCTTGGAATGTCTTGTGCACGATGATTCAATACAGCAGCGCGTACGGCGGCTCCTGTGCCCATACCAGTAGACCATCAAGATTCGAGAGTAATTCCGCAGAAGGAGCCCCTCATGAAAGAAGCACCATAATTTGTAAAGCGGGTGGACCGAGCCAGGCGAATCGCCCACTTGGGGAGAAAGGTAGCGCATGTACGCGGATAGCTTGTGGCGCGATTGAGCTTGGCATGACAATAATCAACAGTCTTGCACCCAATCGTACTTCAGAACAGATACAACATGCAGGTCTCCCTCAGCTTGATTGAGATAAGATTAACAAAACTAGGCCTCGGCATGCGCTGTTGGGGAGGAGAGCTTGAGGAATATTTAGACGGTGCTCTGGTGCATCTTGCCTTTTCGGAAGCTATAAGAGTGCACCTGGTAGGTTGTGCGCGCTCGAAGCGTGAAGCGCTCCAGCAACTTTGGGATACACGTCGTTCGGCTTTTATCCGCCAGTGCAACAGGACGGCTAAGTGTACTGTTAATTGACATAAGGTAATTGCGCAAGGAGTGGGAATACGAGCAGGAGAACTATTGTACTTTTTTTCATCCAGCCTGCCAGTCAAGCTGCGCAGGGCCCAAACTAATGGTGCTACCACTGATTTCAAGAGTTGGAGAAAATTGCTGGCAGAAGCAGCAGGCTTGGGAAGCTCATGGGCGGCTAAAGAAAGTGCAGAAGAGGCGGTAACATGAATAACGCTCAGCTTAGGCGCGGGCAATGCCAGGGATCGGGCTTCCTCTAAGTGCGGGAGACAATGAAACGCAGTACCCAGGGGCTATCAGCGTTGCTTCAGTGTGTTTCGAGCGCAAGCAGAGGGACAAAGAACTATCCCTCATTCAACAAGAACACTTGTTGGCCTGGAGAAGCTTGCGGGCGGTGTGAGGTCCAGAGCATTAAGCTACAGACTGTGCTGTTCAACCTAACCAAGGAGAAAGACGTTACAAGGGAGAAAATGGCAGTCTCAGGACCTGTCAGAGCAAAGAGCAGCAGCAGCTTTTAGGAGGCCAAGCGTAGAGGTCAGGGGAGACGTGCACGCCAGGCAATACTGGCATGATAGCGTGCAAATGCTAATGTGGTCTGTCGCAGCAAGACTGAATCCCATCGACGGCTCCCTTGGCTACAACCAGAGCAGCAAGAAAAGGGAAAAGCACTGTTTAGAGGCCAGTGAACAACCTTGGGTGTATTCAGAATGCAATGTGTGCAAGACCGTAGTGCTTGCCTTTGAGACAACCAGGCATAAGTGTAAAGAGCGTTTTGATAAGAGTACACCTCGCAGTTTCATGAACCTCTTCATTGTCGGCCGGCTAGGACTGCGGGCGCGTCATTTACTTAAGACCCCTCGATTATTTGTAGCCACGGGAGAGCTTCTATATATCAACTCCATGGGGATATGAAAAGAGAGAAATTGTTTTCCGGGGAGACTTGTAGTGGGAGTGGTACCATATGATCTTGTCCTTGGGTTATACTGTTCAACTGATCACAATTTAGCTTGTATGCTGATCAGCCACAAACCTAAGTGAATGTCCAATGGCGTGACCTACCAAAGAAAACGGAGGGGACAAAGGAAAAAGAATTGCAGTCCCAGAAAGCGCTGATGCGCATCTGCTGAACAGTCCGACGATACCTTGAAGCAATAGGCGTCTAGGATGATAAGCGCAGAAGCGGCTACATTGTAGTGCACAGCACCTACTGCTGGGACTACGCTGCTACCTGCCCCTCGAGCAGGCCTACAAACTACACCTAGCGTAGGCCCATTTCCTGGAAACTGTAGCTTAATTTCATCGAAATACAATGAATCTTACGTGTTTCAATATCTGTTTTTTCGATTCGCCCCACTCTGGGAGCTCGCCTCCTAGGCCCTATGGGGAGGAGGCCTGCACTGGTGCCGGCGCTATCGCCAGCCCCAGTCTCCACACATTTTCCACACATTTCACGTATGCATTTTAACTCATAGACAGTTTTCCCTACTTTTACCCTAGTAGGTGGGTCCTGTCCTCCTCCAGTGTTGCGACCCCTTGTAGGTCGCTAGCTAGCTATCGTCTCTAGGACACTAGCAAGCCCCATTGTAGTGCCTGTGCATTACATACATTCCTTCGTTGTGCCCCCAAACAATACGAGGGACGCCGCAGTTGAAAAGTGAGAATGCCAATGAAGGGGGTTTTGTGTTAGGTAAAGGAAAGCGATTCGTGTCTGAATTGGACGTTGCAGCGCCTTTACACCACATTGGCTTCACTTGTTGTGGACAACCCATCTCACATGTAATGGGGGCCAAGAAACGCTGCTTTGGGCGCTGGACGAGTATCGCAACCAAATCCATACTTCAAAGCCCCTACTTCTGCTACCAGCCTCCTTACAAGGCAAGACAGGAGAAAAAGCAGTCGCCGTGGACTACGGCGACCTACAAGTACTTTAGTCAGAAGGGGCCCAGCGGTTGCCGCACGAGGTACTTGAGGTGACCACCTGATTCAGAGAAGTATTTCATGATGCCATTCTTTTAAAGCTACCACTAAAGCTCCTACGTAGTATCCACCTCCTACTATTACTCGGCGCAGTGCCGAGCAAGACTTGCATTTACCGGGCGCCATTGGATCCTAGTGTCTACAATCTGGAAGCCGCTAATTTGTGAGTTAATAGGTGGATAGACTTGATTTATAACTCCATCCGTATTCCGACGATAATGCCTGAAAAGCGTGATGATGGTTCGTGCGAGCGGAAGACGCACATGGTGTTAAGCGAACATTAGTTTAGATCCCTCACAACTATCCCTGATTTTCCTCTGCTCTTCGAGATGCTGGGAGGCAGATAAGAACTCGCCTAGTGTCATCGTTCAAGAATAAGAGGCAGGAGGTACAAAATAAACATAATGCTTTACAAAGAACATTTTAAAGCACTGAAAAGGTAAGCAGTACAAAGCAACATCTGAGAGTTCAAAAGCATCACACCCCAGATAGGTGCGAAGGGATATCTCCTCAAAGTGATGAGCGGCCATGATTACTTCCTTTCTTCTCTTGTACTACTAGAAGCCTCTATGTAATTCTTTGCTGAACCGTGGCGATAACCGATCAAAGGGTCCCCTTCGACAGACTCTGCCGTGGCGGGCAGTCTAGCAGTCCCGCCGGACTGGCGGAGTAGCTGAGGCGGCGCTGCTTGTTCAAATATGGTTTGAATTGATAACGCAACTATTGTTTAGTAGTGGTCAGGAATACACGATGCGAGCAAGGGAATCGAACTTCACCGTCAGCTTTAGGTGCAGGGGAGTACTCAACAGGCGAAGACCCTGGACACGAGATCCGTTTTGAGCCCTACACGCATCGTCAGCTATGCATAGAAGTGTGCTTTCGCAAGCAGCATTAGACTGCCAGAAGATACGTAGTTGCTTCGCGTGAAAGGCAACAGTGAGTAGCTCTTAAGTTTAGGCAAGCCACGAGCATTCTCCAGCCATCATCGTTCGGACAAGCTACACGTGTAGTACACTCAGTTCTCTGCAGCCCCTATGATGCTCCACAGCCCACAACTCGGGCGTTCTATGAAATATTCTCTACTACCGACGCATCGGTCGCATAACGTCTACAAACGTGTTGAAAAGACCGTTTTGTTTCGAGTTCTAAAAACCATATTTTCAAAAAAGTCGTTTATTCTTGTTCTTGCTGTCCTAGTCCGGTGAGGATGTGACGCGCACCTGTGCCGGCGTCGTCGGCAGCCCCCATCTTAGAGCATTCGCAGGCATTTTACTCTATACATGTTAATTTGTTAATAAAGTGCATTTGTATTTCACTAGTAAGAGGTTACAGCCCTCAATTCGCGTCTCAACCTCTTCACCGCCTTTAGGTCATCAGCTGGCTATCCTCTATAGGTCACCAGCAAGCCCCATTGTAGTGCCTGCGCACTACAACACGCCTCCAGCAGTTTTATCCTAACACACACCTCAGGCTCTATCACCGGCACGAGTGTATTTGTGACCAGTTTCAGGGGACCCATTTTTCCAAGCGGTCAAAATGTGTGTTATCCAGGTAGCGACAGTCTGAGGAGGCTGTGGCGGAGAGGCGGGGCGGCAAGACACATTTGAAGCACAGGCTCACTGAATACTGATTGTGGGAAATTAAGGCTTTCCTGCATGATTCTATCATCCTAAATAACATGCATTTGAGAATGCTTATGTAATGCACTTGACTATAACTCAGATTTCTTCGGGATGGTGCGAGCCTTGGAAAGGTCACGACCGCTGACGAACGTGTCTTCAGTGGTGAATGCACAGACCTAGCAGCCAACACGAAGTCGAGGGCAGGTGTAGTGCACAGCGCCTACTGCTGCGACTACGCTGCTACCTGCCCCTCGAGCAGGACCTACAAACGGCACCTAGCGTAGGCCCATTTCCTGGAAACTGTAGCTTATTTTTATCGAAATACAATAATTCTTAAGTATTTCAAAATCTGTCTGTTCGATTTACCCCACTCTGGGAGCTCGCCTCCTAGGCCCTATGGGGAGGAGGCCTGCACTGGTGCCGGCGCTATCACCAGCCCCCGTCTCCACACATTTTCCACACATTTCACGTATGCATATTAATTCATGGACAATTTGCCTTACTTCTATCCTAGTAGGAGGGTCCTGTCCTCCTCAAGTGTTGCAAGTCGCTAGCTAGCTATCATCTATAGATCACTAGCAAGCCCCATTGTAGTGCCTGTGCAGTACAGCCCTGTTCACACAGCTATACGCGCGGACTCCTGCGGCTAAATGCAGTTCCTGCAATGCGCTTGGCTTCGTCCCTGCATCTTCTCCGCAGCCAGCCATTTTCGATACGCTCCTAGCCACGAGCTTAGAAACTTCAAGTGCTTTTCGGAACAATCATAGTCGCACAACTTAGTACAAAAATAATGCTAGACGGAGATTCTAAGAAATTATCTCTCTAGGTCAGCGTGCTGGTACAGTTCAATTCTGTATACAAGCACATCCTCCGGGAAGGCGACAAAAGCCTGGACATTCAAGTGTGGCCGGTAAGTGTTAAACTTTACAACGTGCTTCTCTATTTCGTGTGCCAGTAGCCGAGTCGCGAGGAACTGGGCCCACTCGGAAATTATTTGGAGGCATTCGAAGGTCCGACGAATACTATCGAACCAGGTAGCAGCAGTCGTACACTAATGACTACCCAGATAGGCTCTGTAGTTAGGACTACAGAGCCTATCTGGGTAGTCATTAGTGGAGTTTTCAGACATTAGCTGGCTCCACCACTGCGGCTTCATCCATGCACTGCGCCTTCCTGCGCTTCGTCTCCTGCTTTCCCCGATTTTTGTTTCCCCTGAAGCTCTTCGCCGCTCTTCCCTGCTGCCTGAAGGTCTTTACCCTATCATTTTACAGCCCGTTGAGCCTTTCTTCTCATGGGTATCTGCAGTTGTTTCCTCCAGCTACAGGCGGCTTCCATGCGCAAGCTGTGGAACTAGTTGCAGCCCCCACGGGTTCTTGCAATTCTTGCAACTATCACAGTTCTGGTTCTTCAGAAGCTACCGTTGATTAATGCAGTAGCTGTGTTTTATTTAATTTGTACGGTCTGTATAGGCCACTTTCTTGCTTCATTGTGTTGCACAACATGAACCGCAGAGTTGCTGTTGGACCGACTGGAGGGCTCTGCTGCTGTGCGCAAAAAGCGTAAGCACTTCGAGCTTTCTATCGTTCTCCAAACTAAGAGCCCCACACTCCCACAATATTTGCCAACACTTTAAAAGCATACTGCTTTTGTCAAACACTATGACTGCCAATTGCCAAATATCTGCCAATGTTGAAGTCCTGCGCATTACATATGCTTCCACCTCGAGGTTGCTCAATTGTCATTAGTTACTGGTATCAGGGCTTCGGCGTTACTGAGCGAAATACGGGGAATATAGTGCCGAGCAGGCTTTTCTCAAATCGATACAGGGTTGAGGTGTTTGGGAGGGATTTTGTAGGCGTTGAACACAAGTCTTTCGCTCATGAAGCCAAATAGCTTGTAAGCCGGCTACGCGCAGCGAAATTACTACAGCCAGTGTAAGGGCGATGGAGCAGTTGCTTGACCAAGAATGGCACGGCTATAGTCGGAAGCCTGGAGTGCCTCCATTGTAGCGCGAAAACGCCCCTGGTTCATAGGACCGTGCTGATTCATTAGCCCTCAGTCGCTCTCGCCCAATGTCGTAGTAGACCCCCCGGCATCCCTGGCAGTTTAGTTCAACAGAGGCATACGCCTCCAATGCTTTCCCCTTTGCCGACATCTTAGTGCTGTCACAAAGACTTTCTAAATGCCATCCCTTAGTTATTCTCTCTCCAACCTTACTTGTATCTGAATACAATGGCGCCTATAGGCTATTGCAGAGCAGCTTAGGGTCGGCAGCACGAGGCCTATTGAGGTTCTGTCAGACCAATTACAATTTATCCTGTAATGAAAAATGCTACAGAGATGCCCTCAGCACTGGCGAGCATACACTTCTCTCGCCTGTGGTCCAAATCAGCCCCAAAAGACCTCAGCCGGCTGAGGCTAATGCGGGCGGCTGTGTCTCTGTTGGCACTGCGCTGCAAATTGCTACACTTAGCGAATCCCAGGGGTGCTGGCGCATAGACTGGCGAACCAGCAAATGTGAGGACCCTTAGCTCCTTTCGATTGTCTGTACACTGCAGCACGAGTTAGCTTGTGGTGGCTCTCCGGAAGGCACTATAGGAAGAGCGGTCAGCACTGAGACGGAAAACTCGGGTTGCCGTCTCCGTCTACTCAAATTGCCGCCTACTTCCAACGATCTCCCTTTCCATATTCTTGCTGCAACTTCTTACAGGCAGTGTGAAGCTTTAACGGCTTCGTCGTTGACGGCAGATTCGGCAACGGCACCTTATACCGGCTACTGATCTGCTGCTGATGCCTTCTGCTGCGCTCTCTGGGGGCGTTTGCCTGTTTAGACAAAATATACATGTAGGAGGACTGTTGTGCCGTTCTAAGACTCCCCGTCTGTATTCCCCTGTAGGGCTCTAGGGGCTTTTAGTGAATACAGTTTGATATATTAACTTAGGGCGCTCAGGGCTTTACCTGGGGAGGAAGGCGTTAGCTGGATGCCACTTTAATCTATCACAATGGGTGGATTTGTATCGTTCTCTACAGGTGGAGGTACGACTCTCTCGCCCTGGGCCTTGCGTGCCTCTCGGTCCAACTCGATCTTAAGGGCCCTGGCATAAGCGTGAAGCTGGTCATCTGTTAAGGGGTCAAAGCCCTTAGGCTCGTAGGCAGGAGCGAACGTTGTATCCCCGGCAGTGGAGGGATCGGGAGGGGGAGACGCCTCCGCGAACTGCACGGCATCCTCCACAATCTCCTTCATCTGCAATACCACCATGTAGCGAAAACGAACAATGGAATACAGCACTGCCTACAACCTTGAACAACGAAAGAAGGGCCTGCATTCATATTTTTGCCTTAATCCCTTGGCGTGTTGCAGCTTCGATTTGCAACTGCAATGTTTCACCTAGTGATATGCTGCGCATATCAGCAAGCAGTGAACGTAGGTTTTAAAAGAACTTCTGCATAGGGCTTATCTTTTGTTTCAGCGTACCTTACGCCGCGTCAGTTCCAACGTTTCATCATTGGCGTAGCCCATCTCCAGCATATATTGCTCAAAGTGCTTGATGGGGTCGCGCACTGCAAAAGCCGCCTTCTCCTGGGGGCAGCGGAGCTCGTCTGGGTCAGCCAGCGAGTGTCCTCTGGATAAGCAACCACACAGAAGTTGAGCCCGATGATTTATATATACGACACCTACATACCGCCCCCGGGCTATGCATTTGCATCTCGGTACGCTGCAAAATACTTGTGAATTAGGCTTCTAGCAAGTAGCCATTTTGTCACTCAGACTTCACGGACCGGAACCTGTAAGTCAGAGCCTCTATCAGCGAAGGACCCTCTCCCTTTCGAGCCCGTTCTATGGCTTGGCGCGCTGCCGCGCGCACGGCAAGAACATCCATCCCGTCAACTTCTACGCTGGGCACACCGAAAGGAGGTCCTCGCTGGTGAATCTCTTGCACTGCCGTGCTGCGCTGCGCCGCCATGCCAATTGCCCTGAGTCGTCCACACACGCTCAGGCAAACTTGCCTACAAGATTTCTGTATCGACAAAGTACGTTTCTGAATTGCCGTAAAGTCGAAATGAACAAGGGTACCACTGACAATTTTGCAATCTGTGCACATTCTCGTAATGTCTAAGTGCGAGTACCAGTTGTTGTTTTCCACAACGAAGATGACTGGAAGTTTCATTAGAGCCGCCATGTTCATGGCTTCGTAGAACTGCCCCATGTTGGTCGTGCCGTCGCCCATGAAGCAGACAGTAACCTGCAAGTCAGTACCACACTAACAAGCCGCAATACACACCAGTCTCTAATGCTTGTCCTGAGGCGATGCCGCTTTGGTGCAAGTCACTTTCCAAAGTTGTCTGTGCGCAATCAGTATTGCACGACGCATTCGCGACAAGTTCCTTCCAACCCATCAAATGACGAAATGCGCTCACATTCAGCTGAATTTACCGTTATAAAGCGTCAGATTCTATGGCTGCTAGTAGTGAGCTATACCTGATCTTTTTCGCCGGGCAACTCCCGCCGGGCCAGGCGTCTATATAACTGACTGAACGCCACGCCTAGCGCTATGGGGATCTGTTCCCCAATGAAGGCAAAGCCTCCATAAAGGTTCCATTCCTTTGAGAACATATGCATGGAGCCTCCAAAGCCTTTAGAGCAGCCGGTCGTCTTGCCAAACAGCTCTGCGAAAACCTCGCGGGCAGGTACACCCTTGCTGGTGGCATGAACGTGATCTCTGTAAGTGGACGCCACTGCATCGCCTTTTCGAAGCAGTTTTAGCACTCCAGTGCTTACTGCCTCCTGTCCGGTATACAGATGCACGAAGCCAGCAGTTTTGCCCCGGTAGTAGAGCCGGGCGCACGCGTCCTCAACAAACCGTCCCAGAAGCATATCTTCGTATAGCATCTGGGCCACGACTGGCGACACATTCTCCCTGCGGCTCCTCAAATTGCCTCGAATACTTCCATGCACGAGGCCGCCCAATCCATCCTCATCAAAGTTGAACGACCTTGCCTCCCTTTGTGGATCCCCAGCAGACTGCCGCAATGGCTGCGTTGTGGCATCAGTAGAAGCCGCACGGGAACCTTGGCGAGAAGACACTCGCGCGCTATGAGAGGAGGTGCGGGAAAAATTTAGGGACGGAAACAGTGCTGAAACGTCCGAGACATGACTTGAAGCAAACGATTGCGGGTCCATCCAGGTGCGCGAATTGGCAGTCCTTGCCGCTGCATTTTGGTGTGCACGTACGCTCGCTGGGGCTGTCGTGCCAGGAAGTAACAACGAGGAAAGGGAACTCTGAGCGCTCACGAAGGCAAGAGGCGCATGAGATGCTAGACTGGCGGCCTGGTGGGCTTTACTGATGATCCCTGCGAGAGCCCATAGCAGCAGCTGTTGTATTGTCGTTTTCATTTTCGAAAAACGATTCTTAATGGGCTATACCTCAGGATAAATACTGCGGGACACCACGGCATCCGTATGCGACAGGCGTCGTCTGTCCTCGCCACTGCAGAGACAGAGCCAAATGAGGGGAAGGATCCACTATCCCGTGTTGAGCAAAAAGTGTCTTTACGGAAGGAAGCAAAACGGCTCCTTCATGCTTTTGTATTCTCTCTGCCAACACCTTCTGCAAAAGTCTAACAAGGCGCTTGAGACCTTGCATGCTAGCCATGTCCCGAGAACTCTCCTATGCGGGCACAGCAGCCAGCCCGTGAACGCTTCCCTCCCTTCAATGTATGATTTTGCTTAGGCCATGACTTATTTCGCAGAAAACTAAGCTACACTAATTACATATAAGCGGGGAGGAAGCGTACTACAGCGCAGTGCAGTACTAGGACTACAGCAGCTCCAGGTGCTCGCATCACGGACTGCCCCTGCAGGTGCTCCACCTGCATAGCCTCCAGTTCCGAAATATCAAACTGCAGATGCTCCTTCCCCAACAGTTCCTCCTACACGTAGTTATCTGCCACTGTAATCTGTCCCCTGTGACATACCCAACACTAGTTCCCCTGGCTCCGCTGTGCGTCCTGGAACCCTCCCCAGTCTCATTGGCCTGCCTCTAGATCTAACCGTGAGGGAACGCTGCTGTTCATCGTGTTCAGCTTATGTGCAGCAGATTGGGTCAGCAGTAAGAATGCGTGTCTTCTGACCCTGTGAGGATCATGAGCACCAAGCTGCGGAGGCAGCTTGAAAGCTCATGGCCTCTTGAAGCAGCAAAAGGCCTTCTACTACTCGCACTCCCGGCCATGTCCTACTAGAAATCAGGCCACACTAACCAAACCATATCCTTTACTGAAGGTGTAGGCCTCGACTTATTCAGCCTGTAGGTACCCGGTGTGACTTAGCGGCAGGGAGTCCACTAGATCTCACTATGTGTACTTCAGAAAATAGCTGTTGAACTGTGTGCTGCTGGGTATAGTTGGTCTCCTGACGCAGCTGGGCTTCGTGGTTAATGAAGCATGGGTCTGGTCGTGTGGCAAGGTGCTTGTCAGCCTTGTGACAAGCTGGTTGAGCGAAGAAAGGGCATTCCCCAGTCCAAGCCTTCGGCACTAGCCCGCAATTGGCTGGATCGGTCGGAACTGAGTGCTACGAAATTTAGCAGAGTGAAAACCTTAAGATGCATCCGGTTCCGCACGGCGATACTAGCGGCAAAAACGTCGCAACCCCAGATGCGACATCGTTACCCTACCACTCACTGGAGCGCCAGTGGGACTGGCCCCATACTCGACACGCAGATAGCTCGACCTACTTCACCCATCACATGCTCACTTGTCCCGAAACTCAAAAATTTGGTCACCCTCACAGAAAAGTCATTCACAGCTTCAGAGCAACGATATGAACCCTCCCCAGCGCTTCTGACCCGCGACTTCGCCACCTGTGCAGAATCACTTCATCTGTGCGGTGTTCAGTTGCGAGATGAGCAACTACAGCCGACCGAACAGCGAACGGAACTGGACTAAGCTGCTAAGCCGTACAGCTTGTTGGCTTGAAGCTGCCAGGGAAGCCGGAGCATGATGTTCCCAGTAGCTGGCCACGTACATGAAGGGCAGTGAAGCGTCCTGCTGATTCGGTTGCGATGATGTTGCTGCTAGTGACTTTATTGTTCGCTACCTCTGTAACGCAACGTTCCTGCTCCGGTTTTGCATTTTGCAAGTGCCGTGCCTGGTGTCTTCCAATAGTTTCACAAGTCTGTCAGTCACGGACAAGTGTTCCAGTGAATTGTCACTGACAGCCCCCTGACACTCAATAATATCCCCACAGTCGTCCACACATGCTCGTTTGCTCAGACTGAAATCGAGCTCCTTAACCGAGTAGCAGCGCCAAGCCTCCTCTCCTTGCGAGCTGCCGCCCACCCCGCGGCGGGCCACTGCTTTGACGCAAAAGTGAGGGTTCTCGGCGCACGCTCGGGCAAATGTCTCCAGGCAAAGGCCGTCCATAGCCTTGTGAAGGATGCTGGGAGGTTCTTGAACCTGCAAGGACCAACATAGTCGAACACACTCCAGAAGGCGGCTACCTGTAGCACCATCACGACCTTGCCTCCGTTCACCCAGCCCTGCGGTCGGAACCCGAATCAAGCTCCTGCTAGGCAGCTTCCCGTGAATTTAATACAACTCGAATGCATATCCTATCTGCATGTACTGTACTATCCCTATGGGAGCAGTGCCGGCAAGTTCGATCTCACTCCTCCTTGAGTTCCACCTGAAGAAACATACTCGAACTCACAAAATCATTGCGTTTACTCCCAAAGGTATCAAGCCGAAGCCAAAAGCAGGAAGGAAGCGTGCTCAGCGGCAAAGCTTTTCTGAAACTCACTGTTCGCAGATGCAGTGCAGCTGACGGCCAGCGCAATTGCGGCTGCGCCAAGGGATCGGCTCGCGAAAAACTTCATCTTCACTGCTTTTCACGAAACTTAGAACACTGGTGAATAAAGGAAAAGCTGCTACCACCAAGGAAGTAAATGCTTGGCTCCGCGAGCGAGGGAACCACCGGACTCGCTCAGTCTAGTGGCGAGCGCTACAGTAACTATGGAATAAGAGGGAATACGCATATGATGCTTTGGAGATGAGAAATAATGCACATACAATAGATTGACCGGGAATACTTTCTACGATGGAACAGGCCAGATCAGCAGCGGTACATGTAGTGAGCGAGAATGGGCTAGGCGCCTCGACGCAAAAGCTGAATATCGACAGTAAGGTTGGCTACCCGTCATATTTCGAAAGATTTTCCTGGTTGCAAACATTTTAGGGCTGTTGATTCTACTGTAAGGCGGTATTCTCCCCTACGATAACTCAGCGCTGAGCAGCAGGCAAGTCGTGCAGCACGACAGTGCAGCTGAGCTGTTGGGCTGCTCTGCAGTAGCACGCTAATGTGAGCTTTTTAGTTTGGTTGTTGCAGGGCAACTAATCTGGAATTTCATTCTTCCTTCGTTTTTGTACACTTGGACACCAGATCACTTTCCTAGCAGTACAGTGTACCATGTGGCCCCAAAATACTATAATGCTTCGGCGATAGGCTGCGAGATTGCTCAAAGGCTCACAATTTAATTATATGGTGAAAGCACCGGGGTTGTAATGAATTTTGTACACATGTGCCACCCCAAAAAGCGATTAGCAAAGCTTGAAGTGAGTGCTACTACTACAGACAGAAGCAGGCCACTCAGAATCTGACTGCATTCTGCAAGTACATAGCGGGTGAATGAGTACGCAGAGTGCAAGGCGCTGCAGTCGAGTCCGAAGGTTGTCTTTAAGGGGGAACTAAGTTCAAGCATGTCTAAGCTATATATGTCCGTGGAGGAATTAAGGTTGTGAGGGCAGCTTCCTTCACTTCACTCAGCTGCGAATTGTATGTGTGGTGCTGCAACCGACACCGAAGCGTACAGAAACACGCTGCTTTCTGTGGAACCAGACAGCAAGTTCTGCTTTCCATTCACTCACATGGTTAGTTACGCATGTAATAAGGAAAGTCAATGGCACACAGGGAAGCACAAATGAGCCAAGACTGGATCGAAGGAAATTGCTGCTTGGAAGGTCCATATACCAGTGTAGCTGTATAAGTGGCGTTCAGAGCAGCAGTTCAGCTGTCCTTCCAGCCGGCTGCATGAAACTTTCATACAGAGTTCTGTGATGTGCGCTAAGAGGGCAGTGCACTGAACCACTGCATCATTCCTTCTTAACAAGGCTACAACTATTCCTCCAGTCACCTGGTTCTTCAGGCGACACCAAAATATAAGCCAGCCGTCGGAGTGGTCCAGCCTAGTCTGAGTGACACTTAATAGTGGGAATCAGTACTGCATGAGCTATTAGCCTTCTCATTCGCTGAATCATTCGCTAAGCACCCTCCGACACAGGGCCAGGAGGAAACGGTTTTTGATTGGAGGCCAAAAAAAGGCTCGCATCTCCGAACGGGACATGTCGTGATTTAACTAGCTTCCCTAGTCGTACTGAGTTCCTCCTGCACCTACACACGCTTGCCCGCTTGTGTAGGAAAACTGCTCTAGATACTGCCTAGTCCTCTCAGCACATTACTTGTTCTCTCAGCGCATTGAATGCCGCTACATGCCGAAATGCAGCCGCTTGGGAGCAGCGACAACAAGGGATTGTTTGTTTGCGCTCCGGATTGAGGAAGTACTCTTTACTGCCATATGCACCCTGATGCGGTGAATCCTTCCTTCGGCGCTTTAACAATGCAAATATCAGCACCTTTCTCATATTTGTGTTGACGGTTGCTCGTGTGCAGATAGTATTCGAAGAGCGACGCTTGGAAAGGATCACTGTCCTATGCTATCCGGATGAGTGGTTGTACTAAACAGCGACTTTGCCCGCTGCTTGTCGAGGTTTTCCTTACTTTTTTTTAGCATTGTTGTCCATCCCTTGAAACAAGCTATTTCTGAAGCGGCTGTTGTAGGAAGCCTTTTTCGGGCAATTTTTCCCGCATGGCGCCTCAGCACGGCAGTGGCAACGGCTTGCTCGTCCTTGCTTGAGGTTAAACGAGCGCACATAGCCAACAGGTGCCACAGTATGAGTAAGAATGAGGCATGCCACGAAAGGAGGAGAAGCAAAGGTGTTTCCTCAAATGCCTGGCACCGGAGGTTAGGCAGCGGCGGCACTGCGGGCTTGAGCAGGTAAGATGCTTTTCCTGTCTCGGCTCCAGGCAGTAAGCTTTCCAGGAAAGGCCGACCATTGCATCAGAAATGAGTGCCGAAGGATAAAAGTGGACATGCACGGCGATGATAGGAACTGTTTGGCGCCTGGCTCAAGGCAGCCGTACGTGGAGCGTGCCTGGTTATCATTCGCCGGAGAAAACGTCTGAAGCACACTGTGTGAGTTGTATGAGGCGCGGAAGAACTATGCATGCAGGTGGCTGTGCGTGCTTGCTTCTCTGTGTCTGTGGAAGGTTGGCGACCAGCACTCTCTTTCCAGAAGGGCAGCATGACAGCATGTACACGTCTTTCTATGCAGCCAGCACGAGTAGGTATGCACACACCCGAAAAGAATCAATATCACCACCTAATTAATCAGTACTACCTGCAAAATTTGAGCAAATTTTCTGCGGAAAGAAGAAAATAACAACGATGTGCCTGGAAATGATTAACAAAGATATTAGAGTCCTCTATGGGGATCTTGAGTCCTTTTATGCTCGTCTTACGAATCATGGTCTCTAAAAGCGCGACCAAAGGAATGGGGGATCAACATTGTTGGAACAAAATTTGTAAAATAACATGGCAGTCGCTTTGTTTACACACTTTGCAGTGCCGAAACGGCCTCGGTTGCAGATCTTGCTGGCAATAGCAAACAGTCAAAGAAGAACGTTGGAGGAAAGAGTGAATGAAAATTCCGTGGGAACGAAAATCGGACATAAGTGAGCGAGGCTTGCCTTATGGCTTAGCTGCGTCAATTTCGGGGCTCTTTGGCTTCATTTTTCTCGAAAGTGATTTGGGAAATCACCTCTTAAACGGGGTGTGGATAGCCCACGGAAGCATGCATCAACGCGTAGCCTTCAAAAAACAAAAACAAGGAAACGCCAAACTTAAAGCTGGACCGTCTTACGCATGAGGCGCAAATTTGAGAATGGCAAATAGAAATGCCGCCTCCCCTGCAAGGCAATGCACTTGAAAGGATGAATAGTGACACTCTACGGAACCCTGGGCGAAGCACCTGAAGCGTCGTAGCATATATTCAAATTATTTTCACGTAAGTGCAATCCTCTGGCTTTTACATTTCCGACAGCCCAATCCAGATGGCATTTTTCCCGCGTGCTGTAGGGCACTTCGCAGTGCTCTATCCTGAGTTGTGCAGAATGGCGCCTCTTACTCAGATTTCTTTGTTTTGGATTACACATACTCCTTCCTATTCATGGATTTCACCACAAGTAGACACTGGGGGTAAACCGTGTGACTGATTGTTGCCTGTTGGGTAATAACCCACGCTGTGGCCCGGTGACCTGAGGGTCCTTTCACAGGGTTAACGCTGGGGAGGTATTAGCTTTCTACTATTTGTATCTATTTTTGTCATTCATTACTGCAACTCCGGTATTGCAGCCGCGAACATGTAGACAAGTGCACTTCCAGACAGGGAGCTGCTGGGCGCCTGCCAAGCTACACACAGTCATACGTGTGCGTAACTTAAGCTTGTCTCGGAGAAATGCCCTTATTCTGAGCAACACTCTCAATATGTTTATTTACTAGATGAGGTAAATGGGGTAGAGTTTCGTGATTCTTATGCCATGCGCCTATCTGTCACTGGCGGTGGTTACCGTCATCGTGCAAGTGGCGGCTTGCTGCTAACCCCCGCAGCGGGCATACTTGGCTGTGTTAGGTGAAGCACAGGCCCAACTTCATTAATTCTTGCTCGTCGTCACAAGTGTAAATTGTTGCGACAACATGAGCATGGGGTGGCGTGCATCTTCATGTGATTTCTTGAAGCCTTAGCTATGGGCAGTTTTCACTGTTGCAACTGCACCAGTGGGCACTCCTTTTCACACACTCCGCAGTGCGTGCATGCATGTCTCTGAAATATTTAGTGGGCTTTCTTATGAGTAGGATATCGTTCTAACCAGTGCCTCTACAGATTGTCGATTTCCACCCTCAGGTTGGTGGCCCCTGGAGAGTGACAGGTGTTTGTGGGGTGCACTCAACATACGTTTAAAGGTCCCCTGCCTCATTTTCAGAGATGAAGAATACCACAGGCATCATCTGCCATGCGGTGGCATGTATTCTTGCGGTAGAGGGCGCCGATGCGGCCAGTGGGAGCAGCCTGCTGGGTGCCTTGTTTCGACCGCTCGATGCTTTGAATCTCCACTCCGCATTGAATCCTTCAAACTTGCTTCATGGGGACCGCTCATCTTTTGGCACAGAGCAAAGGCAGTTTTTGCCTAAACAAGGTGATATGAGTCTGCTCGACTCCACGAATACTTTTGAACTGCTCTCAACGCTTCGGCAGGGGCGATCGACGTTAACAGACTATCTCCAAGGAAGAACAACCGGCTTTTCCAGCCAAAAATTTACGATTGTGTCCGCTCTTTTTGGTGATGATGCTGCTGACCAAAGACTAAGAGATGCATTGGGACCTGTGAGCGAACACGGAACGTGAAAGACTCTTGCGACTTATTAAACCGACTTATTAGTAAAACTATAACTGATCTGCTTGCTGGGGTTGTATTCCTAGATGTAATTTTTTGTGTGCCCCTTTTCGTAGCCTGGGTCTACTCACATCGAGCAAAAAGGACCGGCGGCCGGGGACAATGCCAGCAAGCGACCGAACGCACAGGACCCTAGGCTACGCAGTCTAAACGAGGCTTTGGGATTTCACGGATTTCCTCCCCTACCATATTTGCCTCCTTTTCTTAGAGAAAATGCTGATGCATCCACGGGGGCTGACCCGGTAGAGCAGTTGCTCGAGAGAGTCAACAGCGGGCAGGGGCTGCCAGAGACGGTCATCAACGAATTTGCGTCAGAGGAGTATAGCTCTATTCGCTCGTCTTGGCGCCTTCCTTCCACGACTATTCCTTCTCCGAATACAGGCCTTGCCAACAGCCCCTGGCCAATTCCTCACAGGAACAGTGCCGCACAAGTCAGCTGAAAGCAGCCATGTAATTGCTCATTTGCATGACGGATATTGTTTGCTTTTATTATCCGCCAGCAGCCTTAAAGGCAAGGAACTAGCTCTTTCTGATTTTGCGTACTTAGGGCAGTACAACGCTGGCAGGCCCAGATGGGAGCCGTCGCCTGAGCCATAACTTTTTGAATAGGGCAATGGTGGCATCCAACCCAATTACTCTGTTCTACACAGCGGACGAGAAATACCTTTGGGGAAGCAGCTGGACCACGATTTTTAAAGTTTCGCGCACAAAGACGTCTTTGGCAGTCGTGGATTTCGTAAGAAAGAAGGTAGAGACAATCATGGAAGACAAATTTCATGGCGCTTACGCGCTCCTGACTCAAGAGGTAGGGTCTGTTCCACAACAGACAACAATAGCTGTACTCATAATTAGCGGTATTTGTGTATGTGTTGATAAATATGTTGTTAGTTATGTGTCTACGACGTGCTGCGGAATCATTAAACGAGCGCAAGCAGTGACTACTGCAAATGAAGCGCTGAACGTCTGCAAACTGACTTTCACTGTGTGCTTGTGTCGCAGAACGTGTTTGTTGTCTCGACTGGAAAGCGCTTAGAGGCGTATTATGATGTGCCAAGCTCAAATGGAGACAGAATCATGGTGCACCCTGAGGCTTTCACCCTTCAAGCAGGTCTTCAGGGCCTCCAAGCAGAGCCACCCCGGCCTCAGGAAGTCTTCCGCGCTCTCTGCATGACTCACGATGGTCATATTGCTTGGGTAATGGCCTCACTGTCTTACTTGAAGTATACCTGCCTGGAAGTCTTTTACACTACTATCACAGAGCCGTACAGCCTAGAGCAGAATGCACTCGGCTGTTTACGCCGGTCACAAGAAAAAGTGGAACTGGTCAAAGCTTGGCCAATTAAGCTGCCTTGGCACTGCATGCGCCTAATGGGACAACCTCCTTTTAGCTGAGCATAGTTGCAGATAAGCGCATCCACATTCATACAATCAGCCCATGCCTTTCTCTGCAGCTCTAGAAGAGTCCGCAGGTGGTCTTTGTGTTGCGCCTCCATACAATGCTCTACAGGTCACCGACGTAGGCCGTGTAGGCATTTTGGCCCGGGACGTCAAGAATGGTGCTTTCCGCAAGGCTCTCGCCACTCTGATGCTCGGAGCTTCAAAGCGAAAAGGATCCCCTTCTAAAACAGATAAAACTTTAACTCCTGACGGCATTTCAAGTACCGGTAGTGGTTCTGTCTCGATGGACGATGACATTGAAGTGTCAAACAACATTGCTTGCGACGAGCAAGGAGGTATTTATGTGGTGTCCTCAAGGTATATGCACAAGGTAGAGTGGGACGGGGAAACGCTCTCTGTGTCTTGGGAAGAGCCTTATGATCTGGAGCCAGGTCTAGGGGGCACAGCTCCAGTCCGCCTCGGTGAGGGGTCTGGCAGCACTCCAACTCTCATGGGCACTCCGGACCGTCGGTACGTGGTCATTACAGATAGTGCAAAGTTGATGAACATCGTAGTTATGGACGCCAGGACTGGGAAGGTGGAGGCACGACATCCTATAACGTTTGGGGACCCAAACGCAAAGGAAACCACAAGCGAGCAGTCAGTGCTGGTCCATGGGTGGCGCATGGCTGTTGTGAACAACCAGCCCACAGAAGAAACGAAAGTATCCACAAATTTCCTTCAGTATTTGGGGAGCCCGACGACCTTCCTTGCCGGACTAAGTTCATCAAGCAACACATGGTCACGTTGGGGCGACACAGTTGCAGCGGCCTTACCAGTCATTGTCGGAGACGCACCGAAGGGTGTTGAGCAGTTTGAGTTCGACCCAGACACAAAGAAAATCCGCTCTGTCTGGATAAACAAGGAAGTTTCGATCCCTAACGGCATCCCAACAATGAGTGCAAAATCACAGCTCATGTACGGTGTAGGCAAACGGTGTCCTCTTGGGGGCGAGGCAGCGCCTTTGAGGGGAATGTGGACCCTTGAAGCACTGGACTGGTGGACAGGAGTCAGCAAGTTCCACTACAACATTGGGGCAGGGCCAATGAGCAACAGTGTCTACTCAGCTACGCAGATTGGACCGAACGAAATCATCACGGGAACAGCGGGCGGAATCGTGCGCATAAGAGAGATCTAAAAGAGTCCAGATGCTTGAAAGTCAATGCCTTGTCTGAAAAGGCTGAGAATCCGTCTAGGAGAGGTTTGCAGTCTCTAGAGAAAAGGCAGACTAATAAGGGCTGCGAAGGGCCCCTTAAAAGTAGCGAAGGTACGCAGGAATGTTCGTGCTTCTGGAGTTGGGCCGCCACTACAGGTGATTCAGTTAAGACAGTGTGTCGCATTCTCGAGCATTGGAGACGAAATCGTCGAAGCGTTTCATCAGGACACTCGGACGGGCAATTTGGTGCTGACTACGGCGAAGTAGATCTACGCGTTACACGTGGAAGATCTCCTAGTACTGCATACAAGGGGAAAACGTCCTCTTGTTGCAGTCGCCCGCAGCAGAAGCACCTCATAGAAACAAGCCTATTCGATTGCGCCAATGCTATGCAGCAAATCCGGCGCGGCAAGTACTAGCCATTTATCTGTGGCTAAATATTGCGTAGTGCATGTACTCCATTTCCATAAACGGAACTGGCCGAGCCCCTTTCGGTTCTGTTTTCACCGGTTCGGCGGGCAGGCGCCTTCATATTTGAAAAAACTGCAGGTCCCTCAGTTCTTGGCACGAGGCAAGAACTCTTTTTTCGAGGGATTCTATGCTGAGCGCTATCAGTTTTCGACGAACTTTTGAAAGCCAGTCTGTTTACGACGAACCGTTTGGAAGCCAGTCTACAGGAAACGATAGAAATCTCCAGCTGGCTGAATACTGGCCTTCTGCACCCTCTTGAAAAACCCTGGTTTTCTGCTTGCTGAGTCGCGTTGGAAGAAATCGTCATTTCGGATCATTAAGATTGTATATTGGTCCTTCGGGCGGCGTCGCAATGCCCGGACCTTCTGCCCGGTGTTCGCTCCAACGTCAAAATCAGGAGTTGGTATTTCGACTCATTGATATCATGGTAAACGCTTTTATCCAGAGCTTTTATTGAAAAGGTAGTTTACCGAGGTGCAGGCGACGTTGCTGAAGGACTGACTTCTGATGTCCACTAAGCAAGCCACAGGAAAAGCAAACGGCTAGTGGGGAAACTCTGGCAGCCAAACGCCTATTCGGCTTAATGCGGTGTGGCCGATACGTCACTCGTTTGCTGTGACTGACGGGATAGAAAAAGTGTGTGTGCGGGTACGCGTCCTTGGAAGATGCTTTTCGCGCTCTGTCACTTAATCTCGCTACGGGGCGCTGTCTTACAACGGATTTAGCCGCTGCACAGCTACTTAGGAGGTCTTGGAAGTACAGAAGATGATGCCATAGTGGTGTCCAAGCCTTGAATAAGTTGTAGAGTGTACAGTGCCAGCACGTTCCGTGAGGGCTTTTGCCCATTGCCAAGGACGTTCAAATGCCCGCTCCATATTGCACCAAGTTCCTGAATTTGAATGGCCCCTACAGGTTTCACTGAAGCAAACTAGGGTGTTTGGAAGTGGCAAGGAAGTCAGCTTGTCCTAGACTCCGTTATGGATGGCGCTTTTGCCTCTACTCGGTACAAATATTTGGCATCACCAGTAGCCCGAGGGGGTGAACTACAGTTGCTTTTTCCGATTTTATTGAGACGCAGTGCGTTTAACATAAAGGGATTATGTAGGATTGCGGGGATCTAGCGCTCCCCTTCCACATTGTACCTGCAGCACCCACACTAACATTTTCCCCATTTGAATAGAGTCGAAACTTATCGTGATACCTACATAGCCCATCTATCCTTTAGAAAAAGAATGGTAAACAGAGTGAGCTACCTAGAATTCCCCAGCATGCAACAACGTGGGGTAACTCCCTTTTGCCCCTTTGCCTTCCTCCCACTGGACAATGACACCATGCAACTATAAAAATAGCGTTACTAACTTTAGCTCAAAGGGCGACCACGAAGGTCGAAATCGAGGTCGAGCAATGTATGATATACAGGGATAACTCCGTTCTGCTTGCATGCCTGTCTTCGTGTGAACTCAGCTGGGACTACCCAAATGGAACGTTATCTTGCAGGAAAATTCCGTATGCATGCATGGAAAATACTCGTAATCTATTGAAAGTTGTCTCAGTTTACTATTAGCAACGTCATGATTCTCTACTTTTTGCATGAAACTGGTCTCTGGTTTGAAGCGGCCATACCGTTCTCAGCACTACAAGGCACCCCGGACAAAATGAGAGCCCTATGAATAGCACGTTCTCAGTTTCCTCAAGTTCTAGCCTCCTACGGGAAAAGTGGAATGGCGCGATGAATTTATGCAAGACAACTGCTTATGTCCACTCACAGTGCTAGTGACTCCGGCGCCATAGCAGCAAGCATAACTTCACTCCTTCACTGCAGCCCATGTGTTGGAAAGACTATATGCGCTTCATTTGTGTAAGAGGCTTTGTTTCTCCTTCATAACTGTTCCAGCGTTGTTTTTGTCGCGGGGTCTGTTTCGCTGCCCAGCGGCGGGAGCAAACAAACCCAGAGCTGTATAGGCCCTACCTGTATAGGCCCTACATGCGTCCAGGGAGGGACCTATGGAGTTTACTCCGTCTTATCTTTTTCTGAACCAGTTTCTTGTAGTATATTAGCTTGCATTCTAGCAGTTGGTTCAGTGGCTGGACCTCGTATCGAAGAGAACCTCCGCGGCTGCCTGTTGGGCATGAGCAACAGTCGCCATAAAGGCGGTGCAAATCGGCATTTAAATTGACTCGTACAAGCACAGCTGGCGCCACTTTGGCGCGGGCGAAGGTTGCATATGTTTGCATCAAAGGCGCATATTCCACGGTTTTGTGAAGCGTCCGCTCCAGCCTGATGCCGTGCGGCCGACGATTGCAGAACCTGTCGTCCTGTGAAGTATCACTTGTCTTCGCACCACAGGAGCGATCAGGCGATGTCCACAGGTGCCTAATCACTTTGCATTTCTTATGTAGAACTGAGAAAGCTCATGTTGCAGCACATGGGGCACCGAACGTGTGCGCTTCAATCTGCGCTTTGTGTGCGCGCAGGCATCTGGCGCCTGTTCCGAAGGGGTGGTGATGACGGGGAAGGCGAGGGAAAAGCAACACGAGCACATGTAAGCTGTTGCTTTTGGCACGCTGTAGCGTGTGCAACGCGACGTCTGTGGACCAGTAAAGCCAACAGTAACGGTCTGTAATGTTCTTCGTGTGCATCCTTTTATTGCAGCTAGGCGAGGAAAATCAATTTTACTACAACAAAGAGCTAAAAAGATGGCTTATTCGAGGCGAGGAACATCTGGCGCAGCAGCAGGATACACCGCCACCACCTCCCGTAACAGAAACAGCGGGAAAACAGTTACCAGGCAATGCTTCTTCTATAGGCGGCATAAGGAGGTTGAGGTGAGACGTAGATTTGACAGACACTGAAACAAGCTTCCTTTACTTGCCCACCTGGCGCTTTTTCTGTAGAAACACGTCTCCTACTGTTGATGATTCTGTAGGGCCCGCGACGCTACAAGTCTATACACCGCAACCCCGGGACTGCTAACCAAGAATAGCGGCGGCACAGAGGCTAAAAAGCGGGCGCCTACGTTTGTAAGACCTCCATACATGCTGCAGCAACAGCAGCAACAGTTGGAAAGGGGTGGACAGGAGCCCGCGTCCGTTGACAGCAGTTTGCTGGGAACAGCAGATGAAGTTGCTCCTGTGGATACGATTCCCAGTGTCGGTGACAAGGAGGGATGTCGCGTGCGCGCCGCACTTTCGGCGCCTCCACTTAGTGACAGCCCGAGGCGGGCTTCAGCGGAGGAGGGATGGCAAGGACAGCAACAAGAGCAGTCGCACCTTCACCAGCAGACAGCCGTTGTGGAGCGGAGTTGCTCAGAAACCAACGAGACATCTGAAAGGCCCCAGCTATTTTTAAATGCGTCAGCGCAGTGCTCTACTGGCTCTCCTTCACCTCCTGAAAATGAAACACGTTTATTGCCCACTTACTCAAGCTTGCAGCAACTGCAGCAGCAACGCCAGCAACACGGGCAGGACCACCCTCATTCACTAAATGGCCTAGATCAGGCATCAAGTGAACCAGAGAGGCATTCTTATTCCATCAGCCAGCAGCAGCAACATTTGGTGCAGGCTGAGCACCAAGAGCAGGTGCGTCTAATTGGAGAGGAGGGCGAGCCACTTGGAGCTCAAGGGCCTTCTCATCACCAATACTATGCAATATCTGAGAATCACGAGGCCCACAGGCCTCTGTTAGACTACACTGATGCGGCAGAAGCGCTTAAAGTAGTCGACAAAGCGGCTTCAGAACACGGGCAGCAGCAACAAGAAGGAGAGGGAAATGCCCGGGAGGATGCGACCTTTGGCGGCCAATTTGCCTCCACTGTTCAACGGCAGAACCCTGAAGATATGGCGCTGTTTTCAGATGAAGCAACTAAGGCTCATGATAATGAAGTGCAAGAATCCCCGCTGCCTGAGTGCATGCAACAGTGGCAAGAGCAGCGTGAACAGAACTGTCAGCGGCAGCATCAACCGCATGAGGGTCATTGCGCGGATCGCCAGCTACAGAATGGTGGACATCTCGGCCTACCGGAGAGGGGCTGTTCTTCGGGCAGCAATCGCAGCAGGGGTACTGCACCTGAGTATGAGGGCGACTTGAACGACGAAGTAAATACAACGGAACTATTACCCGACAAAGGAGGTCTCACTTTCACTCCAAAAGATGAGGCAGCAACAGCAGTAGGGGCTGCTACTGCAACTGCTAACACTGTGGCTGCGGATGCTGGTGAAGAACATCGGTTCTGCAGCGCGACATTGTCAGATAAATGCGAAGCTTCAGACTCAGCAGACTCTCTCCACCCATCGGCGAAGACATGGGACTCCTGTCTCCCTCCTACAACTTCTCTTCAGCAAGAAGGGCAGATGGAGCGCCTTCAACAAGAAGGGCACCAGCGGCAATCGTCACAGCAACTTCAACAGCTTAACGATGAAAATCACCAGCAGAAGTTGCAGCATCACGATAGATTGCATCACCAGTTGCTGCATCAAGGGGTTTCTATGGAAGACATTCTTCCTGGTTTCGC